AGTATCCGCCAACGACTGCCTGCCTGTGGTGGATTGTATATCAGATATAACCAAAATGGTCGTGTTTGAATTGTCGTTAAATGTTTTACCTAAAGGGTTATTTACTCATTAAGTGAAAAAGAATTTTTTTTCAAAACATTTTAATTATACCGTACTATTTGATTGTGAGTGCACTCGAAAGCAGGACATTAAAAGGGTAAGAAATTTTACAGCCTTTGTTATATTTGTATGTTTATTTAATGTCGTGAATATTAGATAAGTCTTTTTCAGGAATTAGCTTTGATTAAAGTTTTATCTCTCTTGACTCCTGTATAGCAGAAACCCGACTTGGTATATGTTAATGATAATTTCTTGGTAATGTCACCATTACCATGTTTAAATGTTGAATTCTGCTTAAGCTGGTGCTAGGGGGCTTGGATTACCACTGCCGTCCATGAACAGACTCAATTAAACCGAGACTGTAACATTTTCAATGTTGACGTTTTGGGCGTTCTTTAGTGTTTTTTTTCTCTTTTGGTATGTTGACCTTTGTGTGATACGAAGGTATCGAACAAACACGTTACCCTTACACGTAGGTTTAAGGCGCGTAGCCAGGTCATAAACCAGTACTCTCCGGCCTAGACTCCTCTACGTCTAAAAAATGAATATAATCATTACAAACACACAAAAAATCATTAAAATATCACAGATTAAAAGAATTAAATTGTCGTCTGTAAAAACAGACTACAAGTTGTATATATAAGATAACTATGGACCAGGAAGTTCGATTGTTGTTGTTTTTTTCTGTTCCGTGATATTGTATTGATTTTTATAATGTTTTAAATGATTTAAATTTATTCATAGAAATATCATTATAGGGTCACATGTAGTCTTGTAGAGGGGTCCGGGTAGCCCTGGTTACAATGTACAGGTTAAATATATATATATTGACATTTTATATATGCATCTCGCAATTATATGTTGTTTTATACATTTAAGGAAATATGATATTTTCCTCCTTTAGGTAAGACAGGTCGATACTTGATATCATACGAAAATCTTCACTTAATGTCGCTTAGTAACTTTTCGGTCCTTTCCGTCAATCTTCCGATTATTATGAATAACCACAGTCGCAACTACTCGGCCCTTTCCGTCAGTCTTCGGATAAGTTATTATGGGTAATAGCCGAGGCAGTTCCGAATGGAATAACCATCGATGTAATCCGATTGGGGCGTTTGTTACATGATGATGCAGGAAAAAAGTGCAAAAAAATTCTTCGTTCCGCTGGTTCTTTTAATATTTTCTTAATTATAAGCACCTCGGTTAAAAGTGACACTCAAATTGAATAATATATGAGAAATTATTTTAGGATAAGCTACTAACTGGCAGAACTCTGGAGTCTGGATATGTTGTTATACCGTTTCACTATTGAACTAAGCGCTCCACCAATGCTCCACCACCGGTAATAATAATGTTAAAAATAACTTTAAGTAAATGGTCGCTAATTAATGTACATGTATAATTTTATGGTCATCCTAAAGTGGTCATCCTAAGCGACCCGGAATACGTTGACGATTTCTGGGTTTGCGTAAATTATACCATAATCACGTGACCTTTCTTATGCCTTAACCTCACGAGACGAAGTCGAGTGAGGTTGCATAAGAAAGGTCACGTGATTATGGTATAATTTACGCAAGCCTGCGTAAATTATACCATAATCACGTGACCTTTCTTATGCCTTAACCTCACGAGACGAAGTCGAGTGAGGTTGCATAAGAAAGGTCACGTGATTATGGTATAATTTACGCAAGCCCAGAAATCGTCAACGCACCAATGGTGTATCTGTTTTAACCTATAGCTCCGCCCAGAAACACTTTCTCCTTCGATCTTCAAAACTGAAAATTATACCATAGTCTGGGTATGGTATAATTTACGGTTATTGGAAATTATACTTGGAAGAATTTTACATAAGAAGCGCTGAAGAGCTATAGGTTAATAATTATACAGACCATATATAAATATACAATCAGATAAATTTATTGTATAGTTTTGTCACTATTGATTTTATCACCCAGTAGATTCAATCTAGACCTTTTATGACCCATTGCAATCTTTAATTTTGCTCTTAATATTTACTGAAAATTACTATATGTTTACTTAATTAACTCGTGCAAATAGAGCCTTTACACGCAATAGTAATGATTTTTCTATAGATACGCTACTGAAGTATATTTTAAACAGGTTTGTAGATTGTATTTCATTTTCCTTTGTCGTAAAACTGTGTAGTTTTAATTAAAATCTAATGAGCAATCTACGCGGAAGCATGTTCATGATCACGTGCACGCGCTCATTGTTCTATATCTTTATCTACGTGCGTCTTATGTTTTCTTTTCACCATTGCACTAACTTGTCACGTTATTTCAATATTTTTACTTGCTTTTCATTAGCATATAATAATCAATATTATTTCATTATTATTATCATTGTTGTTGTTGTTCTTGTTGTTGATTCTGCTGCTGTTGTTGTTGTTATTGTTAATGTAGTCGGTTGTCGTTGGTTGTTGTTTTTTTACTGTTGCTTTGGGCTTATGGGTGGGGATCGGAAATGATATAAGCTACATCACATCTAAATCATACTTTAATATACAAAAAAAACTTAAAACTTTGCGAAATCAAAATGTTTATTAACATAATTATGCAAACTAATGTATCCCAGTCTGTTACATCTTTGTAGCCTGGTAGTTGGTTTCCATATGTAGCCTTATTCAGGAAATTATCACAGGGAATTGCTTGAACAGGTGGTCGTTTAATAGGACTATTTTTTTGTAAACTTGTATTATTAGGACAGAAAAAAAAGAATATAAGTAGTAAATATACCATTTACAAAAACTCGTCCTCGACCAATATGGTGAACTGGATAAATATTGTTTTCCTATAACAGAAGTGATTGTATCCGATGTAACTCGAAACTATTTCTAAAATCTATCTTTTTTTTCTTTTTCTTTTTTTACAGTGATGAATTATACTTCTGTTCTTTCAACGTTATCCGATATCTTCAAAACGGCAATGAATAGAAAAGTCGGATGATTAATTATATTATGTATAGTACTGATTTTTTTTATCCTGAAAAAAATCTTAAGTTACGGTGGGTGACTTACAAATAGTTTATTTTCCTATAGATTGTACTTCAAATACTGAGTACTTCACTGAAAACCTAAACGAAAACCTAAACTTTTTTTACGTGTAGTAAACGTAAATTACTTGAAAACAACGCAAAATGAACATCGGTCATATGCGCATTCAAATAAGACAGTATCAACGCTGACAAGATAGTAGTTGTGCTAATAAGATAGTAGCAGTACTAATAAGATAGTGGCAGTGCTAATAAGATAGTGGAAGTGCTAATAAGATAGTAGCAGTGCTAATAAGATAGTGGCAGTGCTAATAAGATAGTGGCAGTGCTAATGGGATAGTGGCAGGGCTAAAAAGATAGAGGCAGTGCTAATAAGATAGTGGCAGTGCTAATAAGATAGTGGCAGTGGTAATAAGATAGTGACAGTGCTAATAAGTTAGTGGCAGTGCTTATAAGGTAGTGGCAGTGCTTATAAGATAGTGGCAGTGCTAATAAGGTAGTGGCAGTGCTAATAAGATAGTGAGTGCTAATAAGATAGTGACAGTGCTAATAAGATAGTGGCAATGCTAATAAGATAGAGGCAGTGCTAATAAGATAGTGGCAATGCTAATAAGATAGAGGCAGTGCTAATAAGATAATGGCAGTGCTAATAAGATAGTGGCAGTGCTAATAAGATAGTGGCAATGCCAATAAGGTAGTGTCAGTGCTAATAAGATAGTGGCAGTACTAATAAGATAGTGGCAGTGCTAATAAGATAGAGGCAGTGCTAATAAGATAGTGGCAGTGCTAATAAGATAGTGGCAGTGGTAATAAGATAGTGACAGTGCTAATAAGTTAGTGGCAGTGCTTATAAGGTAGTGGCAGTGCTTATAAGATAGTGGCAGTGCTAATAAGGTAGTGGCAGTGCTAATAAGATAGTGAGTGCTAATAAGATAGTGACAGTGCTAATAAGATAGTGGCAATGCTAATAAGATAGAGGCAGTGCTAATAAGATAATGGCGGTGCTAATAAGATAGTGGCAGTGCTAATAAGATAGTGGCAATGCTAATAAGGTAGTGGCAGTGCTAATAAGATAGTGGCAGTACTAATAAGATAGTGGCAGTGCTAATAAGATAGAGGCAGTGCTAATAAGATAGTGGCAGTGCTAATAAGATAGTGGCAGTGGTAATAAGATAGTGACAGTGCTAATAAGTTAGTGGCAGTGCTTATAAGGTAGTGGCAGTGCTTATAAGATAGTGGCAGTGCTAATAAGGTAGTGGCAGTGCTAATAAGATAGTGAGTGCTAATAAGATAGTGGCAGTGCTTATAAGGTAGTGGCAATGCAAATAAGATATATGAAGTGCTTTTACGATAGTTGAAGTGACATGGGCAAGTGTCATGAAAAGTGTCATAACTATTGCAAATTGTATATTTATATGACAGATCGAGTACACTTAGTTAATGTACCTTTACATTGTGTTTGATTTACTTACAACTGTCCAATATTAACTGTGTATATATAATGCTGTTTTCTTCATCCCAAGTTTCATTTTTTTAAAACTTGATGTTTATATAAAAAAAATATTTCAATTCCGAATATCTTTTAAATTTTGAAATGGGTTATAGTTTCCTCTGGGAAAATGGAAACAAGTTACATTTAATTTTAACGTTGGAAAATATGACATTACTAAATATAAAGCTGAAAGCATTTTAAATGAAAATTGAATTCTATTCAATAAAAACCAAATATAATAATATAATGTTATATTGATTCCGCACTATGTACATAGCCTAGCTAAACTATTTAGTTTCACTTTGCTATATAAAATCAGTCAAGCTGAACATGTTGAAACGATTTTTTTATTGAAAGATTCTTCTGGTGATTGCTTGAATACAAAAAAAGTCAAAAGTGTGGAGAAACATAGTTGTGTAAATGCTTTCTATGTAATAATGTAAAGAAGACTGAAGATTTGATAAATAAGTATGAAGTAAAGTTTAAAGTATTTCAATGGTCGAAACATTTTTAATGAAAACATTGCTATTTTTTCTCTGTAACACATTCTGCACAACGTACGTTCACTGTGAAAGCATCCAATTATGATAATTGTAACTAATTATACTACAATTATGATGCAATGTAGTAAATTATACTATTAACTTATCTTTGACGGACTTTATGGTGGAATAATACACGTATATGTGGTAATTTTACTTCTTATATATTGTAGACCTTTTTAAAGTTAAAGTGTCTACTTGTCTTTGTTTTTTTACACTTGTTTTATCTTGTTTTTTGGTTGTTGTTTTTTTTTGTTTGTTTTTTTTTTTAAATTTATTTTCCATTTACATAAAGATATAGCACAAATTTAAATGCATTAACTTTTGTTATCCCTAATGACAGGTGTTGAATTTATCCATGTAACCAGCTCTGAAGACCTTGTTAGGCGGGGAGTTTGACTGGGGCGGTACATCTGTCAAACGATAACGCAGGTGTCCTAAGGTGGGCTCAGCGAGGACGGAAACCTCGCGTAGAGCAAAAGGGCAAATGCCCACTTGATTTTGACACACATCATTCTGTGTTGTCTGATCATGGTCTGCACTGTTCACAAATAAGTCAATATTTTGATCTTTTTCTCTAACATTGACGGTTTTCTTCCACATAAAAATCTGTCATATTAAAACGTTATATCAGAATTACATTCGCCTAGTTTCTCCATCACAATGTGTCAGTTGGAATTCTACAGCTTAACTTTGTGCTGTTTCATTTATATAAATTAAAAAAAAATATTTTCCTTTTCTATTTGCAGACTCAACTTTAGAAATGAAAATGATACAACAAATACCCCTCCGGAAAATTAAAGTCGTGATACCCGTCTGCGCGTTATTATTCATATTATTTGCTGTTTGGCCAACGACAAGTCCACCACGTGATGTTTCCGCGGGAGATGTTGGTAGACACGTTTTTTATAAAAACGTATCCCGACGAAAAGAATCTTTTAGAGAGGAGGAACATAATTTCAAAACAAAAACCTCTAAATCGATAGATCATAACAAACATATGTGCAATAAAGTAGTGCCATTTAAAGACATTTCCGGCGGAAGGATATCTACGTATGATTTACCCAAAGAAACAGACTATAGTCTTGGAGCAGACGGCCTCTACAAGCTTCCGGAAGAATTCCACCAATCAAAAGGAACGGACGCCGAGATTCGTGTCACTCTGGTTCCCTTTTCCCACACTGACCCCGGATATGGTCAAACTGTGGAAGGTTACTATAGTGGATCGACTAAAAGTGAGCTTTTAGAACTTTTGTCCCAACCCTTTTGTTATGTTTTTTTACATTGTGAAATTGAATATTGTGTGTTGATATTAGATCTATGAAAATAACAAAGGGAACATTTTTAGCTCTGAATTTTGATCTTGATCTTTCACAATCTTGGTGTACACGGAATATGACATTCTGTTCACGTATTTCATTACATGTATCTATACAGCGTGTTCAAATTTCAGGGTACTGTAACGTTATACATATTCTCATATCGTTACAATGTATTTAAAATTCAGGATGTTTTATATTGTATTTTCTTGTAATGAAAATTAAACCCGTCTCATATATACATAATCTCTACTATACTATAGCGTCTGAACAGAAAGTACAACTGTTTTCAGTATCAAGTTCAATATTTGGCGGAGTGCAGTCGGACTAGTAATCTCAAGATAGTAATCTCAGGATTGCTGACCGCGTGGGCTCAAACCCTGTCAGGGGCAAGCCGTTGTTTCCTTGAGCACGAAACTTTACATTCATTGCTCGGTACTGTTTAGTTCTAGGAGAGGATTCGTGAGTGTTGCAATAAGCTGAATGCTTCCAACACAATCGAACTAAAATAAATTTGTATAAACTATAAACTATGTTCAGGATGGCTATACCGCTTTATATCTACCATATCTATGATATTTAATGGTTTATTTACCATCTGTTTCAGGTGTACTAGACAACATGGTAGAATATCTTAGCAATAATAGAAATATGACGTTCCAATGGGTAGAAACGGTGTTCCTTGAAAGATGGTTCCGTGACATAACTGAAGAAACTAAGCAGAAGGTATCTTACTAAACATTGCAGCAATTACAAATAATCCCTTCCCCTCTTCTGATGACGTTAAATCTATGACTGATGATTTATTTTTCGTCACTGTTAAAGCTGCATGCCTCCAGATGAACCAAAATATTACCAAAATATTTCAAGAAAATCAAACTTGAGAAAAAAAGTACTGAGATTTTTAGAAAAGTAAAAAGATTCAAAATAGAAGTAATTATTTCCATATGTTGTGTGCGATTTAAGACCGATTTTGCAGTATTTTTCATCATTGTGTTACTAACGCAGTAAGGGCTATTATTGTCTATTTTGACCTCTTATTGGTAGTTAATATAGGTTGTAAGTGCTGTTTGTAATGTGAACAATTATTTTCTTAGTTCAAATCACAATTTTATTAAATTTTATTACACTTTCAAAATTCTCACGGAAATTAGCATGAATCAGGAGGCGTCACTACATGTACATGTACTAGTATTTGAAAATGAAATTAAATGATTTATTTAATTGTTTTTGTTAATCATTGTTTTGCTTTAACTATATATTAGGTACGTCAACTCGTAGCCAGAGGACAGCTCGAGATCGTGCTCGGAGGGTGGGTCATGCCTGACGAGGCAATAACACACTATGCACCGGTGGTTGACCAGCTGATTGAAGGTCATCAGTGGCTGATGGAAAATCTTGGCGCCATACCAGTTAACGCATGGATAAATGATCCATTTGGTTATTCCAGTACAATGCCATACTTGTGGAAAAGTAGTGGAATACAGAACATGGTGATTCTCCGTATTCACCAGGCAATCAAGCACACATTAATGCGCAAAAAGAGCCTCGATTTCATGTGGCGGCCATATTGGAATTCCAAGAATGAAAACGATATTTTGTGTAATCTAATGCCATACACTGAGTACTGGAATAGTAATGTGTGTGGTCCAGATAGAAATGTTTGTAAAAAGTTTAATTTTCTTCATTTGAATACACATAGACAGGATGGCGCAGTTCCTGTCACGGATGCAAATATTGAAAGTCTGGCCACTGAATTGTATAACAATTACAAATTTACAGCATCATTTTACAAATATAATCACTTAATCATTTTCCTTGGAGAAGACAACTCCTACGACAGAATACAAAGCTGGTCTGATACTCATGAAAACTACGGGAAACTTATGGCATACATTAATAACAAAGCTGAGTGGAAAATGAAACTGAAATTTGGTACGATTAAAGATTATTTTGAAAACATTCGTAAGGAAGAAAAACAAGCTATACCTTTGTCAGCTTTTCCAGTTATAAGTGGTGATTTCTTTCCATACTCTGAAAAAGAAAATGATTACTGGACCGGCTATTTCACAACACGCCCGTGGATTAAGCGTTTAACAAGGGAGATAGAGCCACTGATTCGTGCAGGAGATAAGTACAGTGTTATATTATATAACATGTGTATTGTCTCGAAGAGATGTACTGATATCAAACTTGCCTACAGTGCTATCCTCAATGAGCTCAGAACAGCCAGGAGAGAGATTGGGATATTTCAACACCACGATGGTATCACTGGAACTTCATTACCGTATGTAGTAACTGATTATGAATCAAGATTAATGTTAGCTTTTAAAAATGTCCAGAAAGCACTCACCTCTACAGTGGGCCTCATAGTGTCAGATGGAATCGTTAAGGAGCCATTTGCATTAATTGACAATAATGAAAAATCAGGAGCAAAAAGTATTCTCACGCCTAAAGTATATAGATTGAAAAACAAGAAACTTAAACTATACGTAGCAAACCCTTTAGAAAAGGCCCGAAAATGCTCTGTGAGTTTCTACACTGATAAAACAGATTTGTCTGTATCAGGAGCGTTGTCCCATCAAATAGCCGAGTCTATGTCATCAAAGTTTGAAAGGTTTAACTTAGTGACAATATCCCTCGATTTGTCTCCCTTAGAAATCAAGATGGTCGAAATGGAGGCTAAAGACGATGGCACTAATTTGTCACCATACTTTGAAGAGGTCAATAAATCATCTGGAGACACAAGGGAAATAATGACCATTGAAAACAGATTCTTGAAAGTGGAGTTCTTTGGTATTAATGGATCTTTAAAAAGTATAACAGACAATTTTGGTAGGAAGACGGAAATAAATTGTAACTTTTTGAAATATCAACCTGTAAAAAGTGGCGCATACTTGTTTGGACCAGCCGGGCCAGCAAAACGCATAACCGAACTTCCGCGACCAGAAGTGTCCGTGTCTAGTGGACCTGTATATTCCCAGGTAATAGTTTCTTATAAATCCGGTTTTACACAAAAGTGGATATTGTATCACGCAGACGACATTAATGGACAAGCACTCCATTTAAGACAGGAAATTACTCTAGAAATGGAACCGAGGCTCGTTGAGTCGGAAGTCATTCTTCGTTTTAAAACAGACATTGATAATGGAGACGTATTTTTCACAGACCAAAATGGTTTTCAGCTGATGGGAAGAAAAAACAACAAAACTAGACCAATCGAGACTAATTATTACCCAATAACAACAATGGGCATCATTGAAGATCACATAAAGCGATTCACACTTCATTCTGCACAAAGCCATGGAGTTGCTTCCCTTGAAAACGGTTGGTTTGAAGTAATGTTAGACAGGAACATGCGGCATGATGACGGGAAGGGGCTTGGACAAGGTGTGTCTGAACGTGTTGCTACGCTATCTGAATTTATTCTACAGATAGAATATAAAAATGATCCATTACAAACACCGGAAGTTAGATATACGCATGCGTCAGTTTTAAGCACCATTTTAAACGAACAACTCCAAAACAAAGCATTGCTGTTCTCAGTGGAGCAACAGAACGAGAAATTCACTCATGGTCATTATCTAGGTCAAAAGCCGCTCTCCTGTGATATAACTGTAGTAAGTCTTAGAAACCTTGTCACAAACAATTTGGAGTACAATGGCACTAGTATGGTCTTACACCGGAAGCCAGTGAGTTGTGAGTTTCCAACAAATGTTACAGGATGTAGTGTTTCCAATGAACCTGTGTCATTAAAAGAGTTTAAGTTAGGTTTAGACTTAAATGTCCTTGAAAACGATGTAACAGAGACCTCTTTAACTCATATCAATGAAATCAGCAGAACAAAACTTTCTGATGATGTTAGACCTAAAGCGAATGAGATGAGGTCATTTCTTATAAAGCCAGACACGTCATAAAGTAATCATAAAGTTTCTTAAAGTATTAGGATGTTTATATGTGTTTCAAATAAGAATGGCAGCTTCCATTATTGTTTTTTTTAAATATTTGTTTATATGTTTTGTAATAATTATTTTGTTGTTTTTATGTATTTTTATAATTCTAGGAAACAATTTTAACCGTTTTGTATTTTATAATTTAATAATTAAAATAAATGAAGAAAATATAATCTTATTTATCGACGGAAGATGGTACATTTTAAATGACGCTAATGGCGGTGCTCTTAATCATCTCTCTACCCCCACCCCCGTCACACCCCGTCACACCCATCCCTGGTTGGAGATATCCCACCCATCCCCGGTTGGAGATTATACACTTTCCATTATCTCTTAGAAACTGACTCCATATAATCCAAGTTTAAAATTGTCATTATTGTTGCTGTTGTTTTTATAATTATTTTGTTGTTGTTGTTGCTGTTGCTGCTGCTGCTGCAGTTCTCAATTCGTCTCGAGGGATCAACACTTTCCAAGATGTTTTAAAGATGAAATCTTTCGATACACATATTTCTATATATAACACATATTTACACGAATGACTGCAAACCAAATACATGTACTAAGTAATTTAGTAATGAATAATCTTAAGATATATAAAATATCATGACCGTTTTTTTCCTAAATAGCTCTGCGCATGATTACTTTTGCGGAAATAAATCATCACTGGTGAGGTCGACCTGATTCGAGTTTTCCCTGTCAGAAATTAATTTAAGTTGCTCGACTATTTTTCTTTATCGGGTTATCAATTTCTATTGTTTTGAATTTGCTTGACTACTTTTAGTTACGAATAATCATTTTCATATTCTTTAACGAAATCTTTAGGTAGAGAGTATGAAATGCAGACCGTATACTTAATCAATATTTGATGTCAATATTTGTCTTGATCCATATTTGATGGCCAATTGAATACTCGCGAATATCGTATTTCTTTATGGACTACTAAAAAAGGTTATTTTATCGAAAACACACGGGGCCCACACAGTGTTATGGTATATACTGCTTGATGGTGACCTTAAAATGAGATTTTAGTCATAACCTTATAATATGTATATATATAGTCTATATTTATTCTATTTATTTATTATATCTATTTTTCATCGCTGTTACTTACTTTAGGTAAATAGGTGGTCCGTGAATATGGCATTTTATCAGGATCTTCATGATCAATAAGTTAATTCATGTACTAATATAGATAGAAACCAGCCATGCAAAATGATTGTGTATGGGATGCAGAACAACTGGAACTTTGTATTTGTTGTTGATGTTGTTATTGTTTTTATTTGGGTAAAGTGGGGATGAGTTTTATTTCATTCCTTGATTTACCGATAGTGTTTTGTTGTTGGGAATTATTATAATCAAGTCGACTTCACAAAATAGTGATATAACACAAACATGTGTATACTCTGCAAAATGTAAATTTATTCTTCTAAAATCCCAAACACCGAGACGCTGGCCATACATGTCACTGAGCATGCGCAATATGTGTGTATTTTAAATTTCAGTTTTGGTCATGTCAAAACTGGGGCAAAATGCCGGATTTTTTTTAACTTACTTCTAGGTGTATACAAATTGACAATAGTTGCAAATTAAGCTATTAAGCTAAATCATACAAAACACGTCAAAACCACAAAATAAAAAGGCAGGCAAAATTGAATGAAAACAAAACAAATACAACAACACAAAATAATAATTTGTAAATAATAAAAACAAAAGCAAATGTAGTACTTAGTACCTAAATAAAGGATAAAAAATAAAGAAAGAAATAAACAAGAATGACAGAAATTTAATTTGTAATTAGAAGTTTATAACCTTCAAGGAGTAAACAATTCCCCTTGTCAGGGAAAAAAACAACACTTTATAAAGCATACAATTACTGTCAACACAAGGGTAAGATGACTAAAGGAAATAACAAAAGTTCCTTCTCAGTCAATAATCCATATAATCATAGCCCTATCACATGTTGTTGAAGTAATACAATTTAAACTATTATGTGCATGCAAAACAAAAGTATACCAGCTCAAATTAATTACACTTTTTTTAAACAGAGTTATCATAAATAATCATATGGAACAATTCAGCTCTTCTTTACAAAGTGTGAAACCACGAGAGTAAAACAACGTCGCAAACGACGAGTACAGAACACTCTTAATTTAAGTGCAAACCCCCTGTCTTTCACTGCAAAAGCATCACGGATGGGTTTATCAAATTGGAAGAAAAATATCTAAAAGATTTGATAAACACTGTGCATTTTGGCATTTTATTTTAACGCAATGTTTAGAAAACCAAAGTCAATGAAAACCGCGACATTACTGTCGATCACTAAAAGCGCGTGAATATCAAAAGAAGCGACATAGATCTAATATTCAGAAAATGATCGATAACTGATGAAAGTCAAATCTGTTAAAAAACGGACAAATTAAAACAGAAACAAAAATATAAATAACTAAATAAATAAAAGCTGTCTAAAATTAACTAATGCGAGCTTCACGGTAACGCGAGTACCTGCAAAGTGATGGTTTTGCTGGCTCGCCACGGCGAGCCGGTATTACGTTAGGATTTTACTTAGAAACAACCTAAAACTCCGAATCCATCCAAAAATTTAATCGACGCTTGGCTTCCAGCTTTCTACAAAATTTATCTGTCAGGGCTGGAATCCAAAATTATTTAGCCAATCAAATTTAATCTTACATAGCGTCAAAAAACCTTCATTTTTCACGCCATTTTTAAAAAGCAGCAAGTATTGCTTTGAGCGAAAATATATAATGATGATTTAAATGTTTGTTTTCATGAATTCTTTTCAATAAATCATATTTACTTAGCGATTTCACCTGTTTTCTCTGTAGTAAGTTTTCGTTTGGTTAATTAACATAAGTGTACATCTGGTTCTGTGCATTTTTTTCTTTTTCTTTTTTTCCGGTCAATTTATCCTTTCCGGTATTTAGTGTATGTATTTACTAGGATATCCTATTCTCCGGTCCGGTCGCTTCCGGTCTCTCCCGGTCTAATTTGACCGGGATTTACGAGACTTGAGAACTTGTACAAATCAAATGTTAATCATGCCCCATGAATCTAAATTCGCCCACACCCAAGAGAGTTCTTCAGTAATATATTCCTGTATAGGACTTGTGTCTGTCACTCATTCCAATACTAAATAACATATTATTATATACCACATTTCTATAGCACTCTTTTCATAAATAATAAATGTTCAAGAGTGCTTTACATAAATCCGATAAAACATAATCATATATTTATATAAGACATAATGTACAACATTAATTAAGTAAACCTATTAAACAATAATGATAATCTAAAACCAGTAAAGGATGGTAAGAAATACAGACACATTTAGTTTAAAATCAAGGCACAATTAAAATTAACACTGATAATATAGCAAAAGTAGTACATGTATGATGATTTATGAACTAACGTCCATAGAACTTTATGAAATAATGTGTTTTGAGAGCTCTCTTGAAACATGGCAAAGTATTACAGTCTCTAACGTCAGGTGGTAACGCGTTCCATAATTTCGCTGCGGCTGTCTGGAAGCACCTGTCACCATATCGTACTGTCCGAGAATTAGGCACAACTAATGTCATTGAGTTATTCTGGGACCTCAGATTTCTGACTGGGATGTACACGTCTATCATGTCTTTTATATAGGCTGGTGATTGATCGATGAGGGATTTATATGTATAAGTCAAAATTTTATGTTCGACCCGATACTCTACCGGAAGCCAGTGAAGTTCACGTAAAATAGGTGTTATGTGGTCATATTTGAGTGTTTTGGTCACAATTCTAGCTGCTGTATTTTGAACATGTTGTAACTTGGTCATTGACTGCTTAGAGACTCCATATAACAGTGCATTACAGTAGTCAAACCTAGAAGTAACAAGTGAATTTACTAGAGATTTGGTTGCTTTAACAGTAAGATAGGGTCTGATGTGACCGATTTGTCTTAATTGTGCATAACAGTTCCTACAGACATTATTTACATGTTGTTCCATCCTCATGTTCGAGTCAAGAAATGCACCAAGATTGCGCACACTAGATGATTGGCTAATTTTCGAACCGTCGACTGTTACTGTAACATCTGAAACAGGTTGTGCGTTATGTTCAGATGAGAAGATTATCAACTCTGTTTTATCGCCGTTTAGCTTCAGCATGTTGGCATTCATCCAACTTACAATGTCTTCAAGACATCTTTCAATACGGTTTATATTCTCTTGAATTGAAATATTAGTCACTGGTTTGAAGGATAGATAGAGTTGTGAGTCATCTGCGAAGAAATGGTTGTTTAGATCATGTTTACGGCAGATTTCTCCGACAGGTTTCGTATACATCACATAGCTCTTGGGTCCCAACTTAACTTCGTATAAAGAGACATCTTTATGAATTATACCTATCTAACATTTTTTTGGTCAAGGTCAACAGGCCAAATAGTAAATGTGCATATACATAGGGACTTCATTTTATCTGTTTACATGCATCTTCATATATACTCATATTCCTCTTTGTTAAACTGAGATCTCGAGAACTGACTTCGATAACTTTATATGTATATGTCACTTTTATTTTGATGTTCGCTGAAGTCTCTTCAGCTAACAGAACTGTCATTTTTACATTTAAACACACCCCTGGAAAAAAATTACGAAGCGAGTCGCTACTAGCTTTTTTAAAAGCTAACCTTGTGAAAACTTTCGTCCGAAGTACTGAATTGACACATCGCAACTTTTCGAATTTAAAAATAACCATAAAAACTGAGGAATTCTGACTGAAAACGGATATGTAGACTGGTCACCCGCGCACTTCTACGGGAACCATAATTTGACAGCGAACCAGAATAAACGGAAACAGTGTATAAAATACCGAATGACAATTTTAAAACGGAAAAATGAACTATAATGTTATATTATTTCAGGTCAGACACCCACATTGATTCCATAGACTTACAATATAAGAAATGGTCCCTAATCCTACCTTAAAATTGAGTTTACATGCTTAAGAGGTGATTTTTCTAGCAGAATGAAATGCCTGACACATAAAAATGTTCCTGTTATATAGGGGTAGCCAACCAATTTTTTTGCAAAATGACTTCAAAGAGGATTACCCCCCCCCCCTCCCCCCCATTTCATTGACATTTTTTTGCTGATCACAGGACTGACATACACTTTCTATAAATGCAAATATCCAAGTCAAAATTATCATAGAGACTCATGAAATATTTCTTTTTCTTCAGAAAACAATGTAGTGTTACTTTCAAAGTTAGTTTTTGTACTTAAAAATACCCCATCTTAATCCAATCACCTCATGTATAAATTGAATCATACGGTTTTCCCTGGACTTTTTTTCAGCCAATCGCTGGCCATGTTACAATGCGATACCCTGGCCTTCACGGTAAAAGTAAACGAGCTCGCTTTGAGGCTTTGCCTTTTTCATATTATCTGAGGCAAAAAGTTATTCTTTCAAACAATCGATATTTAAAAGCTTTTTGTAGATATAAATAAAAAATCTATCATGTAATAATATTTTTGTGTCATAGATGGAGATTAAAACATCATAATGATTATTTTTGAAAATAAATATTGTTCATTTTTGATCATACTGTATAAAGCTACACGTACATCTACAAACTAGCAAATATAATATAAAATTCAACTTAAACGCATTATTTAATAGCGAGCTCGCAAAGCGAGCTTTACGGTAACGCGAGTACCTGCGAAGTGATGGTTTTGAAAACTTTCGTCCGAAGTACCGAATTGGACACATCGCAACTTTTCGAATTACGAGATAACGATAAAAGCTGATGTACTCTGATTGAAAATGGAAGCGTAGACAGGTGTCCTGAATACTTATAAAGGAACCATATTAGAAAGGGGGAACCAGAATAAACGCAAGCAGTGTATAAAATACCGAATGACAATTTTAAAACGGAAAATTTAAAATAAAAATGAACGATTATTTTAACTATATTACGGTAAAAGAAAATCGAGCTCGGTTAGAGGCTTTGCCTTTTTCATATTATTTCTATGGCCACTTTTACAAATTTTTGTCAGAAAAAAAAGTTACTTTCATATTTTAGTCATCCACATCATACTTTGCGCAAATTCTTGAAGGAAAATATTTAGTGGTGTTTGGACTTTATTTTGAAATCCTATTACTACGAAGGTTTTATGAAAGCACCGCTGGAATATCACGTGATCAAAAAATGGTAGCAAACCAAGATTGGGAAAAATGTCATGTTAAACTAGCATTTCTGCCTCAAGGACAACATAGCAAACTTTAATGGTCATATATTTTGGAAATTTAGGTATTCTACGCTCTACTTACTTACCATATAATCCTTATGATGGCACAATGAATGCAATTCAGGACACTAAATTACCGTTTGATTTGCAGTTTTTGGTAATTTTCTTCGGCGTGTTTTGCCGTTTGTTTACTTTGGTCGTTTACTTAGGTGTCCCAGACGAATTTACCGCAAGATAATATGAAAAAGGCAAAGCCTCGAAGCGAGCTCGATTTTCTTTTACCGTAAGATAGTTTAAAATAATCGTTAATCAGATAATTTTTAATTTACATTTTCCGTTTTAAAATTGTCATTCGGAAGATAATTTTTAATTTACATTTTCCGTTTTAAAATTGTCATTCGGTATTTTATACACTGCTTCCATTTATTCTGGTTCCTTCTTTCTATTATGGTTCTATATAAGTGCGCAGGACACCAGTCTACGCTTCAGTTTTCAATCGGAGTACATCGGCTTTTATCCTTATCTTGTAATTCGAAAAGTTGCGATGTGTCCAATTCGGTACTTCTGACGAAAGTTTTCAAAACCATCACTTTGCAGGTACTCGCGTTACCGTAAAGCTCGCTAATATGAAAAAGGCAAAGCCTCAAAGCGAGCTCGATGTACTTTTAACGTTAAATAGTATGAAATAATCGCTCATTTTTATTTCAAATGCAGTGACGAGTGCGCGTGACGTCACACGTACTGTGTTAAATATGGCTTCGCCCCTGTTTTTAAATGAATAACGAGTTTTGAAAACGTTGATAAAACTTTGTTTTTTTATTTTATTGCACTCTATAATTTTTCAAGCCAAATAAAGATTATTAAAAGTGAAATAAATGTAAAACTTAAAACGTTTGCGACATTAAAATAGCGTACTTGATTTGATTGTTTTGCGCGTGCTGTTTGGCGCTGTACAGCGTTAACGACTGAATAAAAGATAGTGGTGTTCGGATTCATTTTCTTAGTTAGACCATTTTCTTTCATTCATTCTAGATAGTTTTCACAACAAAATTCGACAAAAAATTGTTTTTATTTATCAGATTTTTCAACCAAAATGGCGCCTTCAATTTTCATTATACATTTTCCGTTTTAAAACTGTCATCCGATATTTTATACACAGCTTCCGTTATTCTGGTTCCCTGTCCAATTATGGTTCCCATAGACGTTCGCAGGTGACCAGTCTACACATCCGTTTTCAGTCAGAATTCCTCAGTTTTTATCGTTATCTGTAAATTCGAAAAGTTGCGATGTGTCCAATTCGGTACTTCGGACGAAAGTTTTCAAAACCATCACTTAGCAGGTACTCGCGTTACCGTAAAGCTCGCTTTGCGAGCAGGCCCTTCAGGCCAGCTCGTCGAGCTCGCTATCAACATAAACGAGTAAAAGAAACTGAACAAAGCCTAGCTCTGTTGTTCTTCAAATTTACAAATTTTCCCATAACTTGTCTTGCGTTTACAATGATGTTATTGAACTTTATCATTCAGGGTGTTCACTGGCCATGAAATCCTGAGGGTCATTTAGACTAAGTTTTACCGACTACAAGGTTAAATCCCCATGATTTTAACAAAATTTGACCCTCCAGTTAAAATTCTGAGGGTCAAATCAGGCCTCTTGGAAATTTGAAGGGTCAAAGAGTCATTTCAAGGGTCTAACGGACACCCTGGCATTACAAAATTATTCTTCATTATTAGATGCAAATTGATGACAGAATTTTATTGACATAACCAGGTACTTCCTTGGACTCAAAATTCCTTCTAGAAAATAGGGATGAGTTTTGAAATTTAGGACGAGTCATCAAATGAAGCTATACCATTTGGATTTTTTTTCAGTTTCATTTCACGAAATAAGTAACAAGTCAGCATTCATATCTAACAGTAAGGCCAAGGGTCTTTCACAGCTTTAACATCCGATATTTTAATCCACATAAACAAAAGGGCTATGTTTAGCAATGTCAGTTACCAAATGTTGCTATGGCCACACTTCAGGGCATCACCGTTTGGCTGTGCTTATCACATGAGATTACACAACTAAATCTGACTCCAGGAAGTTTTAGCGAGTATTGAATTAAATTATACATGTTGGACTTTTTCATTGAGATTTTTGGGTGACTGGACTGTAGCTTTTTTGATCAAATAGGATGGAGTGAAAATATTTTCGGCAAAGGTTTTGCTTGACATTGCCCTAAACACAGTCCCTGCATAACCCCATTATTATTCTATAACTTTTGTTTTCCGGCTTTTCTATGTAAAATATTCTTAAAATCATTGTATTTGCTCAAAGTGTTGGTAGACCACTGTATTCCTAAATTCCTACTTATAAGACCTATCCGTAACCTTTTCATGTTTATCTTCATATGAGATTTTACATTTTTCATTTTCCATGTTACTTTAGGTCTTAACAGATGATAGCAAACAAATTGACATTAGACAATGTCTATATATAGATCTATTCTAGTGCATTTTAATGATTTATCCGATAATGATTCCAAAGGAGTAAAATTTCCAATAAAAGATTAATACAGAATGAACATGCTATGCAGTAAACATTTACTTAAATAATATTTGTCTCAATGTTGGTTTATGTGTCACCAAATTGTGACCAATGCCACTGCTATACTAGAGACTGTTTCCAATTCAGGGAAAGGGGTTTATTTCCTGAAATGCAGGGCTCTCAGTAGGGTCAGAATTTCACGAGTCAAAGACTCTTTGGCCAAAATTTTCATGAGTCAAATCATTTTTTTCAAGTGTCATTTGACTACATGAATCATTTTTATGTTACAAAAATGACTGTATTGGAGTTCATTTTTGGAGATTCCAAAGTCTAAATTGACAGAAAAAATCCATAATTATAAATGTCTATACCTCCCCACCCCCTCCTCCACCTAAAAAAACCCAAATAAAACAAAAAAATGAATTGCTGTGAAAGAATAAAATAAGCAGCAGCTTTTCTGATTAAATATATAAAATATAAAAAAAATATTTTTACTGCAGGTATGCTATATGTATCATATTAATTTTAAATACCAAAATGTACCTTGGAATATTTAATAGAAAAAGAAATAACAAATGCACAGGTACTCCAAGTTAATCAAAGACGTATATCAATAATTGACACCTCAAGTATGTAATTCTTATCAGTTGTGTAGAGCTATTTTTAGCACTGTCAAATTGCAGCCACTGAATTGTCGCGCTTCAGTGCACAGGGTATAAACAATTGCCGTGTGTAAAACATTTTATACACGGCTTATACTGCCTGTTGACATTTTTAATGAGTGAGATTTTAACACATGTAGGATTTGATAGGCAATTAGGGGTGGATTAAAGGTAATTATTATTGCATAGCTGAAAATCCCATGTGGGAAATTGACTCTTGAGTAGATTTTATCACGTGTCAAATTTGTGCATTTCCCGATTTTCACGAGTCAAAACCCGGATCCCCGTGTCAATCGAGAGCCCTGCTGAAATGTTTTTCCAAATACAAATGAAAATCTTTCTGTTTCATCTCTTTGTTTTGCCCCTGTCAATTGCTACTCCAGTCCCAGTTGAATAAAGGGGGATTTTACTTTTTAGCTCGACTATTCGATAAGAATAAGTAGAGCTATTGTAGTCACCTGAGGGTCGGCATCGGTGTCGGCACAACCACTTATGTTAAAGTTTTTGTAATACCTCAAATATTTTCAAAGTCCATTGACATATGGCTTTGAAACTTTGCACACTCATTCACCATCATGACCCCAACATGTAGACTGGAAGAGGTAACTCTATCAAGCATTTTGACAGAATAATGCCCCTTTTTATGCCACCGCAGCATCTGCGATGCGGTGGCATATAGCGATTCATCTGTGTGTTTGTTTGTGTGTGTGTGTGTGTGTGTTATATAGATTATATAGTGAACTTAAAAAATCTTCTTGTGAAAAACCACTAGTCCAATTTAAACCAAACTTGGCAGGATTGATCTTGGGTGAAGGGCTTCCAAAGTTGTTCAAAGAATTTCATTCCATGCAGAAATCTGGTTGCCATGGCAACCGAAAGGAATTATAAGAATAAATTTAAAAAATCTTCTTGTAAAGACCCAAAAGGCCTAGAGCTTAGATATTTTGCATAAGGCTTTGTCTGGTAGACCTCTACCAATATTGTTCAAATTATAGCCCTGGGGTCAAAATCGGCCCCGCCCAGGGGTCATTAATTTTTAACTATATGTACATATAGTAAAAACTAAAATACCTTCTTGTAAAAGACCCAAAAGGCGTAGAGCTTAGATATTTTGCATAAGGCATTGTCTGGTAGACCTCTACCCAGATTGTTCAAATAATAGCCCTGGGGTCAAAATGGGCCCCGCCCCGGGGGTCCATTGATTTTCACTGTATGTACATATAGTAAAAACTTAAAATACCTTCTTGTAAAGACCCAAAAGGGCTAGAGCTTAGATATTTTGCATAAGGCATTGTCTGGTAGACCCTTACCATGATTGTTCAAATTATAGCCCTGGGGTCAAAATCGGCCCCGCCCCAGGGGTCATTGATTTTCACTATATGTACATATAGTTAAAACTTAAAATACCTTCTTATAAGGACCCAAAAGGCCTAGAGCTTAGATATTTTGCATAAGGCATTGTCTGGTAGACCTCTACCAGATTGTTCAAATTATAGCCCTGGGGTCAAAATCGACCCGCCCCGGGGGTCATTGGTTATCCTTATATGTATATAGTAAAAACTTACAGTAAAAACTTTAAAAAAATCTTCTAGTAATTGACAAATGCTAGAGGAAAGATATTTTGCATGAAACATTGTGTAGTGAAGCTCTAGCAAGATTGTTCAAATTATAGCCCTGGGGTCAAAATTGGCCCCACCCCTAGGGGTCATTGATTTTCACTATGAACATAGAGTAAAAAAATTAAAAAAAATCTTCTTATCTGAAGGTACAAGGCTTAAAGCTTTGATATTTGGTATATAATATTCATCTTTGGGTCCTCTACTAAAGTTGTTTTAATTATGCCCCTAGTGTTGAAATTGCCCTGCCCCAGAGGCGCTAGATTTCTTTTATATGTATAAAGTAAAAACTTGAAAAATTCTTCTTCTCTGAATTGACAAAGGCTAGAGTTTAAATATATGGCATGAGACTTTGCGAAGTGAACCTCTACCAAGATTGTTCAAATTTTAGCCCTGGGGTCAAAATTGGTTCTGCCCCGGGGGTCATTGATTTACACTATGTATATCTAGTTGTTTGGTGGACCTGTATCAAGATTGTTTTTGGATTAAACCCTTGGGTCAAAATTTTGCCTTGACCAATGGGACAGTGACCTACTTTCTTGTCCTTTGATGTACAGCAATGAAATTTTGACCATGTGCACAGTTTTAGTTGTAAAATTGAACTTTGATATCAGGTGACCTAGATTTTGATAATGTGACCTACTTTCTTGTGCTTTGATCTACAGCTATGAAATTTGAACCATGTGCACAGATTAAAATGTAAAGTGGACTTTGATATCAGCTTACCTAGATTTTGACAAAGTGTTCTTACTGTGTTGTCCTTTGATGTAGTCATGAAAATTTAGTCTTGCATGAAATATGACCTTCACCACAAATTCACTAGACTCAAGTGCATTGATATATTCCTGCTCTGATCTTTTATTTGATTAACAATAGATTTAATCACTAATCTGATAATAAGAATTAGATAGGTCAGGGATCTATGCATTATGACAATCTTCAATTGTATAGAAACAAAAAAAAATCTGTTCCTACACTACTATTTAGTGTTGTATTAATGCGGTGGCATAGCATTTTTCTCAAATGCAATCTTGTTCGACTTAGAATTTACATTAAAGTTTTTGTAATACCTCAAATATTATCAAAATTCATTGACATAAGGCTTTGAAACATGTCGAAATTTTATACTCTTCTTTGAGAGCATAATAGGACTCTCTCCAAGGCCTATAACTGTAATATGGATTTAAAGAAAAATTTTGCCTTTTTCTTTACTTAGAAAATTTTACCTTTTAATCAAGGCTTTTTAGCTCACCTGAGCTTGCTCAGGGTGAGCTTTTAGGATCGGTGAATGTCCGTCGTCCGTCGTCCGTCCGGCCGTCCACAATTGCTTGTGAACACTCTAGCGGTCGCATTTTTGCCTCAATCATCATCAAACTTGGTCAGGATGCTTATCTAGTTGAAAGCTCGGATGAGTTCGAACATGGGTCATCTCGGATGAAAAACTAGGTCACAAGAGCTAAAAATAGAAAAACCTTGTGAACACTCTAGAGGTCACATTTTTGACCCAATCATCATCAAACTTGGTCAGGATGTTTGTCTAGGTGATAGCTCGGATGAGTTCGAACATGGGTCATCTCGGATGAAAAAGTAGGTCACAGGAGCTATAAATAGAAAAACCTTGTGAACTCTCTAGTGGTCACATTTTTGAACCAATCATCATCAAACTTGGTCAGAATGCTTGTCTAGTCAATTGCTTGGATGAGTTCGAACATGGGTCATCTCTGATGAAAAAACTAGGTCACAGGAGCTAAAAATAGAAAAACCTTGTGAACACTCTAGTGGTCACATTTTTGACCCAATCATCATCAAACTTTGTCAGGATGCTTGTTTAGATAATAGCTCAGATGAGTTCGAATATGGGTCATCTCGGATGAAAAACTAGGTCACCGGAGCTATAAATAGAAAAACCTTGTTAACACTTTAGCGGTCACATTTTTGCATCAATCATCATCAAACTTGATCAAAATGCTTGTCTAGGTGATAGCTCGGATGAGTTCGAACATGGGTCATCTCGGATGAAAAAACTAGGTCACAGGAGCTAAAAATAGAAAAACCTTGTTAACACTCTAGTGGTCACAATTTTTGACTCAATTGTCATCAAACTTGGTCAGGAAACTTGAATAGGTCATTGCTTGGAATAAATCGAACATGGGACATCTCGGATGAAAAACTAGGTCACATGAGCTAAAAATAGAAAAAATCTTGTTAACACTCTAGTGGCTACTGTTGTGATCCAAATATTCTGTTAATTGGTCTGAAAGTTTTTTTTGATGATTTCTAAGTCAAGATCAAACATGGGTCATCTTGGATGAAAAACTAGGTCACACCGCCCAAATATGGAAAAACCTTGTTAACATTCTAGTGGTCACATTTTCGACTCGATTATCATCAAACTTGGTCAGGATGCTTGTCTAGGTAATTGCTTGGATTAGTTCGAAATCGCATGTGAAACTAGGTCACCGGAGCTAAAAATAGAAAAATCTTGTTAACACTCTAGTTGCTACTGTTTTGATCCAAGTATCCTGGAAATTGGTCTGAAAGTTTGTTTTGATGATTTCTAGGTCAAGTTTGAATATGTGTCACCTGGGTAAAAAACTAGGTCGCACTGCTCAAATATGGATAATCCTTGTTAACACTGTAGTGGTCACATTTTTGACTCACCTGTCATGAGACTTGGTCAGAATGCTTGTCTAGGTAATTGTTTGGATGAGTTTGATAATTCAGGTGAGCGATCTAGGGCCATCATGGCCCTCTTGTTTACTATCAAGCACTAAGAATAGTTGAGCGTTGCTGTCCTACCGACAGCTCTTGTTGATTACCAAATTTCTGGTAAAGATGTCAACCTGAAAGTGATATCTCCTGTCTGTATGCCCCTGTTCTATAAGTTAGACATATTTCCTTGGCAGATTTTAAAACAAAACCACAGCATTGTCACAGTTATGCATAGTTGGAAATGAAATACTCAACTGATATCCCTGTATAACTTAACACTGCCATGTGTTAAACCACTATTAAGAGGTGGATTCCTGATGACTTGAGCATCTTGTAATGAAATATTAAATCAAGGCTGAATATATCTTTGCCGCAGAGTCTTGGAAAAAGAAACTAAAAAGTGAAATACTATCTATTAAGATTTTATATATTATTAAATTATTGTAACTGGTATTAAAGTTTATGTGACTTTACATTAGGTTCTGGAATTTTAACTTTGTCAATAATGTTCTTGGTTTTTTTTCTCATCAATTCATTTGTTGCGAAGGGGTGGTTATATTAGAAAAATAGATATGAAAACATTTTCTTATGACAATTGGCAGAAGTTGCATGAAGATCTTTGATACCACTCTCAATTTTTTATTTACTTTTTCCAACAGAACTTCATAACTGTCCATAATTATTCTATGTCTAATTTAAAATGTGATTGCGCAAAAAGATTGAGCTTTTTATAGATTGAGCTTTTTATAGATAAATTTTGGAATAAATTTCATTTCAGATATTGAATAGTAGAGAAAACAGACAGACAATGTTGCTTGGTAAGAAAGGACTGTCCAAGAGGGAGCAGGAGGAATTAAGACGGAAGGTAAGATTTTCTATACAAAACATAAGCTGTGTAATGTGCAACATATTCATCATGAAGTACATGTGGCGTCCATGGCAGTTTGGTTTCAGTGATTTTTTTCCTGTATTTTACAGCCGAATAAAGGCTGTTTCCCCTAGCTAGAAATAGGTATATTTTCCCCTAAAAAGCTAATATTTCCCCTGTGCCCCTCACCAGAACCATTACTTAACAGCATCTGACTTATTATATCAGCTAGAATCCCTATAGCCTCTGCTATGTATCATGCATGATAAATTGAATTGAAATTAAAAATTTTATAAAATGTGTGGGTAAATTCCACTCTCAGTTGTTGGAATTTGATTTTCCCCTTTTCTGATTTATCACGCTATATTTTCCCCTTCAGAAAGCCACAGGTTGTTTTGAAAATTGGAAAAAAAATCACTGGGTTTAATTAGATGACTTAAAACCACCTGTTCCCCACCACTGTGGGTTCGAATCCGGCAAGGGACTTTGTACTCTTACATTTGAGGATGCTGTCCAGTTATCTTCAGACCTGGGGATGATTACATTGATCAGTAATTGATTTAATTACAATTACTTTCAGATTTTATTGTAATTGATTACAATTGATTACTCAGACTTGCCTCTGTAATCAATTAAATTACAATTACTTTGAGAAAGTAATTGATTGATAATTGATTACATTCCATGTATAACTATAAACAAAAGTTTCTTAATGCTATTTAATATATACATTATATACACAAAGGATTTCCAGCTCATCAACAGTCATCATTTTAACACACTTTTAGTTACTGTCACATCACTTTATCATATTTTAGCATTGCACTTTAGCATCATAAGTTCATGAAACCGTCTGTCAGTCAGACTGCATCTATCAGGACGGAAAATTTTACCCGCAACACTAAACAAACGCTCTACAGGGGCCAATGATGCAGGAATGGTCCTCAGTCTTCTTGGTGTAGGTTTCATAATGAACTCTCTGCAACAGAAATTTTGAAAAGTGTCAATTGTACAGTATGCTGTATACAGGTGTTAAAACAGGTGTGAAAACAATAAATTTTTATATGGGAATTCAAAGAGACAATAGACTTTACAAAGAAATTATCAATTTTTTTACAAACACTTCAATGGTACAACAGTATCCATTATAATATAGACACATTGTCTATCACCTTACAAAATAACTGTTGCATATAATTAAAATATGGTAATATGCATCTGACATAAACTCTAGAATATACAAAGTAAAGAAGTTATCTACATTTGTACATTGTTTGAAATTTTTTAAAACATGGTTTAACCAAAATATGTGAAACAAAATTTAACATACCTTTATGTTGGTAATGAAATTTGAATGTGACTTAGTGTTTCCATTAATCTTCTTAGGGCACAATTTGCATGGTGCTGTCACATTTCCAGATGTTTCTTTAGGAAATTCAAAGACATCATAAATCCAATGATTTGACATTTTGGTTAGAATACCAGCCAAACAATGATGTCTATCTTTCAGTTAGAATTTGGTTAACTGTATGGATTAAAACTTATTTCTTCATTGTGAGTGATGTCTTAAAATGTCTCACTTGATATTTTACTACCTAATAGTTAAACTGTAACATGTGAAATAAATCATTTGAATTTCAATAGTTTCATGTAAAATCTGAAAGAAATCAATATCAATCAAATTGTAATCATAATTACAGACTGAATTTAAGCTGTAATTGATTAATTACAATTAATGTAATCAATTTTGAGCAAGGTAATCAATTACATGATGATTACACTGTAATCATGTAATCAATTAAATAATCGATGATTACGATTAGTGATTACCCCAGGTCTGGTTATCTTACAGCTTGTCAGTGGTTCTATTTGGGTGCTTGAAATATCGCACATAAGACTTAAGAGCACTTCAGGTCTTATGGCCATATAAAGTGCAGGTGTGACCCAAAATCCAACCAAAAACAATTTAAAAAAAGTTAATGCAACATACTGTTTGAATGTTTCCATATTGAATGATAGACTAGTCCATTTCAAGACATTTAGTTTGGCAAGCGTTAATAACTAAATAAGTATTTAGGTGCTTCACATAGTGAGACATATGTTAAATGTTTTATCAATGTATATATGTTTATATCTTGTAATGCAGCAAGACCAGGTGGCAGCTGCAGCAGTATATGAAGATTTTGTAGCATCATTTCAAGAGAGCAGTAAGCAAGGCAAAACATGGGTGAAAGGAGAAACTGTGAACTCTGACAAACCAGGTATGATTCAGAGACTCTGACCGCAGAGGTCCTTATTGTGAAAGCCTATATTTTGTATTATCAGCATACCTAAATTAATGTTATTCTTCTGATTTTTGTGTCACCTTTATAAAAATTTGTAAGACATGGAAGATTATTGTGTTTTCTGACTTCTTAAAGAAGCTTCACTGAGGTCAGAAAGTCTGAAAAACATTAGATTTGAAATTCTTACTTAGGTCAAATGATGTCCTTAAAAGGGAAATATCCTCAAAAGATAAATATGATCAAAGTGTAATTCAAAATCACATTTTTTGCACAATTTTTGAGCCTTACCACACTTTTCTTGTTTTGGTTATTTTACAAAATAAAAATGATTATTCTGGGGAAACAGAGTGAGGGAAATGATCTGAAATTTTGCACACACATGATTAGTCACGGTGTATATCAAATGGTAGACAAGTTAAAAATGAAAGCTCCAGTCTATGTCAAAAAAACCTCAGTGGTCTGGGGAGTCCCTGTAATTTTTATCTTGGTATTTGAAACTGGTATTTAGAAATTAGTGATTGAATGTTGATTATAAAAAATGTTAAATCTGTTGGATTCATTTTGATCAGTGGATAGTAATGAAGTTAAAAGGGAGCCTCTACATTCAATTTTCAAATTGTATGAATGCATATTATCATGATAAAATATTTGTTGTTGTTTTTTATCCCAGGAAAAGCTGACAAAGGCCGGCTTTACAAACCAACATCAAAACTTGCTGAGTTAGCTTCAACGTTTCATTCAACAAAATCAGTTAAAGATGAAGAAAGGCCGGATAAACCTGGGGTAAGTGTGAAGTGATCTTTAAAGTTTGTAATCAAATTTTGAACATGTTTCAAAACAGTTTTTATTGGTGAGTTTACTGTTTATAAAATTTATAGAAATATTTCATTAGATATAGCTTTTTATCACACACCCATGCCAATTTTGCGACTCCGTAAATATGGTATTGCACGGCCATGCATATATTTTGACGTGACGTCATGAGCGTTATTCAAACATAGTGTAAAGACGCGCTAAATGTTAGCGTTATACTATAGACGCGTCAATGAAATATGACTCTTATTTTACCTTAAACGGTCTTTATTTTGGGTATGTGATAAATAGAATATTAAATTTGTGTAACTTCATTTCTGAATTTATTGCACTCGTTGAATAAAATAATATTAGAGGCGAGCATAATATAATTTTATTCAACTCGTGCAATAAATTCAGTATTGAACTTACACTCATTCAATAACCTCTATATACACATGAATGTTAAATAATATTCCTTGTCAGCAATAACATGCCACCATTCACCTCTTTATTTGAGACCTGAAAAATCTGCTGTTCTCAGAAAGTTATATACATACATGTTTATATTTAAATCTGAATGTGATATGAACTTGATGACATGAGGAAAATCAACAGGAATGATTTTAATTTTTGTAATAAAGTAAAGCAGTTATTTGTTTACATGTAAGTTTGAAAATAGAAATCAACTCCAGTTTCAATTTAAAAATGTAGTTATTTTATTTGTTTACAGAAAGCTAGTGCATTAAAGAAGAAAGCAGATGACAAGAAAAAGAGTAACCTGGAAATGTTTAAAGAAGAATTAAAAAGGTAAAGTATGATCAAATGAAAGGAAGTAGTTTTGATAAAAGGCATTACATAGGGCTGCCGATTTTCTGCGGATTCGCGGAAATCTGCGGATTTCATGAGCTCCTGGGTCTGATTGATGTAAATTCGACAAAGACAATAAATTCATTCGTCATATTTTATACAGTACCCAAAAACTGGCACGCTTCGGCTTTTATCGTTACGCTAGCCCCCTATTGTACGTCTGTAAGTTCTTTTCTCATCAGTCAAATCGAGTCTTTTCCAGCATTATATTTTAGAATAACCAATCAGATTACAGTTAACATTGTCACTCTTGTCTGTTGTCAAAATGTCGGATATTTGTTTTGAGGGCTGATGAAAACCTGAAGTCCAACTAAAGTGTCTCTGAATGGCTTTAAAGGCAACCAAGGAAGTCAAATTTAGAGTCCAGGAAATTGATTTTAGGGCATACCAAATCATCAGAATCCGGGAGCTTCAGGGGGCTTTCCCCCCCTTGGCTCACACCTGAGCACTGCCCTAGACCCGCAAAGGGGGCTTGCGCAGCCCCCTTGACTCCCGGCGTATTTTCCTCTGATTTTGCAATTTGCTGTTGGCAGCCCTGATTACAATATACCTCTGTCACTGGCTTCAGTTTCATACTCCTCATTACAGTGGCTTCAACCCAGTCTGAAAGTTGGGGATTTTTACATTCATGTCGATGTGACTTATAACTACACCAAACAAATTACAACAATACATAATTATCTTTAAAATTGTGTATTTTTCGTCTAACATTAAGAAAAGAATGCTATATTGAATGATATTTGTTTCCTGTGTTCCTGCAGAATGTCTATTTTCATATATATATGTCAAGAAAAAAATAATGAGTGCTTACATAACCTGCATCAAGGTACATTAATTTTATATCAAGATGATTCAACATTTGTGGTTCTACCTGAGATCTTCCTCCATAGTCACCATATGACCTATACTGTGTTTGTTTGATAAAAAACTCAATTAAGAAAACAAATATGCATCAATCTACATGTTTATTTAGTGTTTACTTTATGGTTAAAGGTTTCATGTTCCATTGTCCTTCAAACTGTAATGTTTGAACTATATCATGAGCAGTAAGAAAATTCTATGTGAGGAAGCTATCAAGCTAATTTATGCATAGGTTGATTGTTTCATTGGCTTGGGCCTTGCCTACTGTATATATAGTCACCTGATGTTTTCTACCTCCAGTAATGACAATGAAACATCCTCTTACCTCTATGCCTAGGGCTTAAACCCTAAACTATTGGATACAGTTTTCAGCTTTACCTGCTAAACTACCCATTAACTTACAAATATCTCCTTATAAGTGATAAGTTTGATATCCAACATTAATCTATAATGAATTACTATTCTTTTAGAATACAAGAAGAGAGAGAGGAGCGTCACAAGTTGAAACGTGTAATAAGAGGTCAAGGTGACCCAGGTGGTGGTATTGCTCAGTTCCCCGAGGAAGAGAGAAAAACAAGATTTGAACCCGAGGCGGATCTTATGCCCTGTAAGTTTATATACTGCCACTCTTTTATAATGCTAACCACGTTATTAGGTTCATGGGTCTTCAGTTTAAGAAAAGTCTGTAAGACAATTTTGGTACTGTACTTGAAGTTTTAATCATTTTAGTTTCAGAATCAGTTAAAAATATCTTACTTCTTAGTCATAAGACCAGCTGTATGGTATCTGTATTTATTAACCAGGTTTTCCGAAGGAAAAAACTGGTTATTAGATTGAGGTATGTCGGCGGGCGGATGGGCGGACGGGCGGGTGGGCGGGCGGGCGGGCGTAAACAATTTCTTCTGTGCGCAACTCCTCCTACATTTCTCAACGGATTTTGACCAAACTTTCACAAAGGCTTTGTCATCAAGTGCCCTGGCGCATATTGTCGGGGTTTTGGCATTGGATAATATTTGACCTAATTATGGCCCTTTGTTGTTTTTTCTTATATAGAATATATAGTGAACAATTTCTTCTGTGCGCAACTCCTCCTACATTTCTCAACAGATTTTGACCAAACTTTTACAGAAGCTTTGTCATCAAGTGCCCTGGCACTTATTGTCGGGGTTTTGCGATTGGATAATATTTGACCTAATTATGGCCCTTTGTTTTTTTTAGTTATATAGAATATATAGTCAACAATTTCTTCTGTGCGCAACTCCTCCTACATTTCTCAATGGATTTTGACCAAACTTTCACAGAAGCTTTGTCATCAAGTGCCCTGGCACATATTGTCGGGGTTTTGTGATTGGATAATATTTGACCTAATTATGGCCCTTTGTTTTTTTTCCTTATATAGAATATATAGTGAACAATTTCTTCTGTGAGCAACTCCTCCTACATTTCTCAACAGATTTGACCAAACTTTCTCAGAAGCTTTGTTATCAAGTGTCCTGGCACATATTGTCGGGGTTTTGTGATTGGATAATTTTTGACCTAATTATGGCCCTTTGTTTTTTTCCTTATACAGAATATATAGTGAACAATTTCTACCGTGCGCAACTTCTACATTTCTCAACAGATTTAGATCAATCTTCACAGAAGCTTTGTTATCAAGTGTCCTGGCACATATTGTCGGGGTTTTGTGATTGGATAATATTTGACCTAATTATGGCCCTTTGTTTTTTTTCCTTATACAGAATATATAGTGAACAATTTCTAGCGTGCGCAACTCCTCCTACATTTCTCAACAGATTTAGATCAATCTTCACAGAAGCTTTGTCATCAAGTGCCCTGGCACATATTGTAGGTATATTGTAGAGGTTTTGTGATTGGATAATTTTTGACCTAATTATGGCCCTTTGTTTTTTTTCCTTATACAGAATATATTTTTTCCTTATACAGAATAATTATATAGTGAACACTTCTTCTGTGGCAATTCCTCCTACATTATTCATGTTTTACATTGCACATAGTTACATTGTTTGTTGCTTGTATTTGTATTTCAAATACAACATATTTATCTACAATGGAGATAATTGAAAACCTGGTTTCGTGGCATTGCCATGTTTCTTGTAATATATTTTCTCCCTGTATTATTTCAGCGTCACAAGGTCTAGGCATGTATGATCTAACAACTGATGAAACTTCTACAAATATTTATATTTCCAGTATTAACCCAAAGGTATGCATTCTATATACTTGTACTTATTTTTAGCTCACCTGAGCTTGCTCAGGGTGAGCTTTTAGGATCGGTGAATGTCCGTCGTCCGTCGTCCGTCCGGCCGTCCACAATTACTTGTGAACACTCTAGCGGTCGCATTTTTGCCTCAATCATCATCAAACTTGGTCAGGATGCTTATCTAGTTGAAAGCTCGGATGAGTTCGAACATGGGTCATCTCGGATGAAAAACTAGGTCACAAGAGCTAAAAATAGAAAAACCTTGTGAACACTCTAGAGGTCACATTTTTGACCCAATCATCATCAAACTTGGTCAGGATGTTTGTCTAGGTGATAGCTTGGATGAGTTCGAACATGGGTCATCTCGGATGAAAAAGTAGGTCACAGGAGCTATAAATAGAAAAACCTTGTGAACACTCTAGTGGTCACATTTTTGAACCAATCATCATCAAACTTGGTCAGAATGCTTGTCTAGTCAATTGCTTGGATGAGTTCGAACATGGGTCATCTCTGATGAAAAACTAGGTCACAGGAGCTAAAAATAGAAAAACCTTGTGAACACTCTAGTGGTCACATTTTTGACCCAATCGTCATCAAACTTTGTCAGGATGCTTGTTTAGATAATAGCTCGGATGAGTTCGAATATGGGTCATCTCGGATGAAAAACTAGGTCACCGGAGCTATAAATAGAAAAACCTTGTGAACACTCTAGTGGTCACATTTTTGCATCAATCATCATCAAAACTTGGTCAGGATGCTTATCTAGTTGATAGCTTGGATGAGTTCGAACATGGGTCATCTCGGATGAAAAAGTAGGTCACCAGAGCTAAAAATAGAAAAACCTTGTTAACACTTTAGCGGTCACATTTTTGCATCAATCATCATCAAACTTGATCAAGATGCTTGTCTAGGTGATAGCTCGGATGAGTTCGAACATGGGTCATCTCGGATGAAAAACTAGGTCACAGGAGCTAAAAATAGAAAAACCTTGTTAACACTCTAGTGGTCACAATTTTGACTCAATTGTCATCAAACTTGGTCAGGAAACTTGTCTAGGTCATTGCTGGGAATAAATCGAACATGGGACATTTCGGATGAAAAACTAGGTCACAGGAGCTAAAAATAGAAAAAATCTTGTTAACACTCTAGTGGCTACTGTTGTGATCCAAATATTCTGTTAATTGGTCTGAAAGTTTGTTTTGATGATTTCTAAGTCAAGATCGAACATGGGTCATCTTGGATGAAAAACTAGGTCACACCGCCCAAATATGGAAAAACCTTGTTAACATTCTAGTGGTCACATTTTCGACTCAATTATCATCAAACTTGGTCAGGATGTTTGTCTAGGTAATTGCTTGGATGAGTTCGAAATCGCATGTGAAACTAGGTCACCGGAGCTAAAAATAGAAAAATCTTGTTAACACTCTAGTTGCTACTGTTTTGATCCAAGTATCCTGGAAATTGGTCTGAAAGTTTGTTTTGATGATTTCTAGGTCAAGTTTGAATATGTGTCACCTGGGTAAAAAACTAGGTCGCACTGCTCAAATATGGATAATCCTTGTTAACACTGTAGTGGTCACATTTTTGACTCACCTGTCATGAGACTTGGTCAGAATGCTTGTCTAGGTAATTGTTTGGATGAGTTTGATAATTCAGGTGAGCGATCTAGGGCCATCATGGCCCTCTTGTTTCTGTCTTGCCATATCCCATTTGTATTAGATGTATAATTGGCATCCTTTGCTAAACATTCAGGTCCTGTTAGTTAAAACTTGTGTAAAAAGTTTTGTGAAGCTAGCATTCCTTATTTTCTTTGTAGTTAATATAGTGAGTCAATAGTTGTAACTTGTACAAAAATTCAAGCTAATGTGTTGGTACATTAGCATAGGAATACTTTTATCTTAATAAGTTCTATTTATGAGGGCACATTTTCTTCAAATTATGTTTAAAGGGACAATTGAGATTTATATTTAACAGTTACCATGAATGTTATCATACAACCTTTTTTCCATTGTCATAACAAAAAAAGAGGTGCGGGGTATACAAGTAGTCATGGTATCAACTCCCTGCTATACGATACTATGGTACTACTTTAAGTTTACATTTGCCATAATTCTTTTAAATTAAATAATTTACCCCGAGTGAACGATAAATTTCTCACATTGCCCAAGGAAATTTCTGTTAACGTCGATCAGAAATTATCTTTACTGGCCAAATTACAAAAAGAGTGGAGCAGTCTTTATATATTTTAGGCAGATTTAAAATTTATCCTAAACATTTTTCCAGTATTAACTGTTTGGGTCAGTCACCAATATAATGATAAAACTTGAAATATATAATCAATTCAACAGAACTTGACAATGAAATAAGGAAATAATTTTCTCAACAAAGTTTATATGGCCTGTAACAAATTCCAACAAAGCAACCTTAATTATATATAAGTTTAACTGTTAACAGTTTTAATTTTGCCTTCAAGAAAATTTCCAAAAACTTCCTTAACAGAAACAAAAGATACAATTAAAACATAGTGATTATCTCTAGCAGTGTGACTGATGATGGCTTGATGTAAAGTTGAAAGTTTATTGTTTAAAATGATGACCTTTGTTTGTAGCTTGAACTTATTTGTATTTTTTAAGGTGACTAATATAAGTTATTATTTTTAGATGACTGAGAAGCAATTGATGGAATTGTTTGGGAGATTCGGTCCGCTAGCAAGTGTTAAAATAATGTGGCCTCGGACAGATGAAGAAAAATCTCGAGGAAGAAATTGCGGTTTTGTAGCGTTTATGAATAGAAAGGATGGGGAAAGGGCATTAAAACATCTGAAAGGTAAGTATAATGGAGAGTTAAACAAAATTTTGTTTAATTGATCATTGCACAAGGTCTTCTCTAGATTGAAATGAAGCAAAACTTCTCTGTGACAATTGGTCTCGGACATTGAGTGTAATAGTCATTTGTCTGTCACTGCTGATTCAGAAATCATGTGGGATTATAAGTTGGTCACTTGTGGAGAAGTTGTTAATTACTGTCCAGTTAGTTATTCAGAAATGCCTGTTAAGTTGATCAACTGATCTGAGATAAAAATGACTAAAACTGTGTTATAAACCAGACAATCAAAAACAAGTAACAAATTCTTTACTTGAAATCCCTAAACTAACTTAATGTTTAAGTTCTTCTAAGGAGATATGAGACTTTTATCTTTATATGTCAGGTTATTTACATTTACAAACCTTAACATATTAAATGGACTTTGGTGTTTTTCAATATTGACAAAACAGTTATATGCAGCAAAAATTTCAAAATATGTTTTGACTGGAAAAAGAAAAGTCAGACCATGGTCTTGGTCTGCACTTGTTGCCTGGGTAAAATCATTTGTCATTGCAGACTAAGGGTTTAAGTGGTGGTTTTGACCCCTGGTATTGCTTTAAATTTGCAAAACGGAGGTGAGCCAAAATCATCTTTCCTGTTTCAGTGCCAAATGACCTAAATTGTGTTGGTGTGCTGTAAAACCAAACAATAAAATAAATAAAAATTTGAGTGATTTTGACTTTCTCTGTACAAGGATATTATTTGTTATGATTTAACAAAGACAAAGCAAGAAATCTTGCATGATATTTGGGAATTACAACAATGTTTATTGACTGATATATGCTAGGCGTTTTAATGTTACAATACAGGTAGAGAAATCGGTGGTTTTGAGATGAAGTTAGGTTGGGGCAAGCCGGTACCGATTCCACCACATCCCATATACATCCCGCCCGCGCTAGCCGAACTTACACAACCTCCGCCACCATCAGGTCTTCCATTTAATGCACAGCCTAAACTGAGTCGACGCGATGGTCGAGGGTTCAACAATATGCCGATGCCAAAGAATAGAGCCGAGATGGAAAAGGTAATATTTTCTAGGAGCGAGTCTTTTCATTTATTTTCCATTAAAGTCTCGTTTAACTTTTAAAAAAAGGGGTATTCCCACCAAAACTAATAAGGTATCTGTATTGTGAAGATGAAAGTTTGGGAAAAAAAGTTCTGTTTTATTTTCTTTGACTAAAGGTTGGTTTGAAATTTTTAATATTCTAAAATTTTAGTTTTGGTGGGTCCACACTGTTTTCATGCAGTATTATTATTATATATATATATTTTATCATGGTAAGTATTGTATTGACAGGTATTAAGGTAAAATATCTATCGTATTTTGTCATGTTTTCAGTGCATAATTTGAACCATATTCTTTTATGCTTTAAGCTGTAGTTAGTTTCATTTGGAAAATAAAAAAATTCTTCAGAAATTCACATGTCTGATATTAATAAGCAATGCAAGCTTGTGTGAAAAAAAGGAAAATATGTGCTTAAAATTGGGTTTATATGAATGCATGCAGTCTGTTTTTAAGTTTTGTGAGTTCAAAGACAGTAAAAAAATGAAGAAAAAAAATGTAAAGAAAAATATTATAGATGTCAATTTGAAATTTTTTAAGATATTTATGTATTTTGTTAAAAAAGATGTTTTAAAAAAGGCATTTTTAACATTTATATATATGGCATAGATTGAACAATTTATTTTAAATATTTCTTGAGAGATTTTCTTATATAATATAATGCTTATTAAATAAAATGCGTGTAAAAAGCTGCTAACTTCAATGACACAGCAATATTTAATCTTCTTCACTTTGGCCATTTCTCCAGACCTTAACGAAAGCCGTCGTGAAAGTGGTTATTCCTACAGAAAGGTACTCAAATCTTTTATATTTCTTTCTAAAAATAGACTACTATATTCTAAAAATAACTTGAAAAGTCATGTGATCATTTTATGGTCATGTGATGCAACAGATCTTGATTCTTGTACTCAGTAATGCCAGGAAAATAAATAACTTAAAGGTCTTTTAAGGAGGGATGTTCAGGAAAGGGGAACAGAAACCAGTCAAAATTCCTTTGCAACATGTATTGGATTTTTATGATACTTTTCCATTATTCTGATATTCTTTAATTTTGGTCATTTATGAAAAAAAAAAATTAATTTAGATAATAGATACACATTTGTTTCAAAGTTAAGAAATTGTTTTATTGAAGATTTTATGGTTCAAGATTTCATTGTATGACAGCATTTTAATATGATAGCAGTTTAATGGGTATTCACATTGCCTTGAGGCAAAATTTTTTGGAAATAACAGACACAGCATTTAGATATGTTCATTAAACTGTCAATATAAGTATCAGGCTATTTGATTAGATGATATTAAATAATGACATATGTTTGAGGGATAGTAAATAAATGAAATGTTTGGCATTACTGAGCGAAAAAGAAATTTCTAAGTTATGATATAAAAAAGTTAAGGAAATAAAAGTAAGGAATACCACAGAGTACAACAAGAGGTGAAGAAGAGGCACACGTCCAGACACGTTCAACAAGACGCCTTCAAAATGGCAACCTACACAGAACAGGAGAAGATGCCTGGATTCACATAAATTTCTCCCCGTCATTTCCATCATACAATAAAATATTTCTCCCCGCCATTTCCATCTTTAACATACAACAAAATATTTCTCCCTGCTATTTCTGTCTATAACATTTACTAAAATGACGTCTTACATTTGTACAATAGTGGGGAATTCTTAACTAGTAAAAAGTTGAAAAAAAAATGCACTGTTCTTGCTAGATTTTGCTGGATTAATTAATAATCTGTCTCGTTAATTAAATAATATAAAATACATATATACATACAATATAGGCAAATGGGGAGAAAGTTATGGTATTCCAATTTGTTGGCAATTGTTTGATTTAGACTTTTTGTACCTTTGATAAGATATGAAATTGTCTGGTTTATATTTTTTTTCATATGAATTGTGATTGATATCAGAAGAATCATTATTTCTATTATATCATGAACAGATAGTTTTTGACTGCTTTAGTATAGAGTATTATTAAAGATTTTTTTTTTTTTTTTGACTCTTGAGGCTTTTAAATTAAAAATATTTTTGTGTTGTTGTTGTTTTTGTGCATTCAACATTTTTTAAGGTCCCTATGCTTGTATTGTACATGGAAATGGAAAACAAGTTTTATTTTTACTAAAATATTTATTTTACTTGTCTGAAAGCGTGCCACTTTAAGTCCATATAAAGCACACAATGAAATTAAAATAAATGTTTGTTTTACATGTTAGATCAAGTCATTTTCACTTATTGCTAATCCACATTAAGAAGTTGCAACTAACCTAATTAATTCTATAATTCATGTTTTTAGTTTATACAATTTTTATTCATAGTCATACACAGTACATAATATACATTCATTCAATATATACAATGTTTAAATGGATTAGAAGGAAAGATACTAAATCTTATAAAGTTCTTCTTAAGTTTTGTTAAGATTATATTTTTTCTTTAAAAATGAGATTATATTTTTTCTTTGACAATGTTATTCATTTGATTGCTGATGTGGTATAGAAATACTCCTTTAATTGATTTAAGGCTCAATTAGCTATTTTGTCTGTAACCACTCACTTTAACAGAATTGTTTGTTTTCATTTTTAGCTCGACTTTTCTATGAAAAGGGGAGCTATCCTACTCGCCCCGGCGTCGGCGTCGGCGTTGGCGTCACACCTTGGTTAAGTTTTTCGTACCACCCCACTTTATTTCAGAAGTATTACAAGTATGGCTTTGAAACTTACCATACTTGTTCACCATCATAACCTCCATCTACAGACAAGAGTACATAACTCTGTCAAGGTTTTTGACAGAATTATGGCCCTTTTTTGACTTAGAAAGTGTATTGAGCTTGGTTAAGTTTTTTGTACCACCTCACTTTATTTCAAAACCATTGGAGGTATTGCTTTGAAACTGACCATACTTGTTTACCATCACGACCTTCATCAACAGACAAGAGGACATAACTCTGTCAAGGTTTTTGACAGAATTATGCCCCTTTTTGACTTAGAAAATACATTGAATATGGGTAAAATCCACTTATTGCCTTAACCCTTTGAGATATTGCTTTGAAACTTTTAATGCTATTTCACATCATTACCCCCATCTGTACGCAAGAGAAGGTAACTCTGTCAAGGATTTGTTTTAAAAATTAAGGCCTTTTATCGACTTAGAATCTTGGTTAAGTTTTTAGTACCAGTCCACTTTTTGACTGAACTGTTTGAGATATTAATTTGAAAGTTGGAATACTTGTTTACAATCATGATTCCCAAACATGTCCAGGAGAAGGTAATTCTGTCAAAGATTTTATTTGAATTATGGCCCTTAACTGTCAATGTTTTGTATTATAGGCAAGCACTAAAAAACTTAAAAAATCTAAAAAAATTCATTCCTATCCACTTGTTCACTTTACCATAAATTATGTCATATAAACATTGCTGTAATATTCAAGGGTATCAAACAACTAGTTCACTTTAAAAATACAGAGATTCTTGTATTGCCTTTTACTGCAAAAACTTTTTTTATTGGCAAGCAATAAAAAAGTCGAGCGCGCTGTCTTACGGACAGCTCTTGTTTAATACAAGTCCACTTTGGAAAAAACAGATCTTACAGTTATAAGAAATAAGTTATTATTAGAAAAAAATTATGAAGTCTTTATTTTGTGAACAGTTTTCTGTCAATTCAAATTATTTACTTTATTAATTTATATAAAAATTAGGTTTCATGCTAAGCTTACAGCAGGTTATTTTGTTACTACATTTTTGTGCTTTTTGTAAGAAAAAATTATTTAGTTGATAAAATGGTCATTTTTAACTATAAACAACAAAAACTGTTAGTTCCTGCATTTGGTGATCATTACCTGAATTTCATTATTTCATATTTCATTTATATTGTCTCATTATTTTTTGTCCATCATCAATTAAATTAATTAAATTACAATCATTTTTATGTAAGATTTATCATTACTTCAGACTTATTACCTTTATTATTTACTATGATTTTATTTTATGAATCGGAAATTCATCTGCATGATAAAAAAGTTAAAAAAACTACAAATTATATCATGTTAACCAATCATTTTTTCAAGCTCAACTTTTGTAAATATATACATAATATTATGTATACACTGACACACTGTTATTTACAATTGCTATTTCGAGCCAAATTCTGAATGCCACCACGTCTTAATTTTGTTTGTAACAGAAAGATACAGATGCATCAGAAAAGATCCCGCAGTTGCTGGGATTTGAACTCATGACCTCATGCTAACAAGCAAATGTAACAATGCTCTAGACCACAAAGCCAAAAGAGTCAATTCCCTGACACGGTTGTCAGAGATTGTGCTTATAGTTATGTAGGTTGGTGTGCAGTCAACTGTAGATAACAGAAAGACAAAAATCTTTTTTTATTTTACAAGAATAAAATTATTATGAATAAATTATGCAAAGTTATTTTTGTTAAGGTGAATATGATAAAAAAAAAAATCGAAATGCTAAAGTTTTGTCGAGAGTTCAAATTGTTAACGTAAATAAGATAAAAGATTTATTTTGTAACTGCTACAGTTTTGTGAGGAGTTTTAATCCAATCACAAATATGACTTTTTTCAGTTCTATTATTTCTTATAAAAGAGAATTATTGTAATAAAGATTCTAGGATCACATTTAGGGTAGAAAGATCTTTGTTAACATTTTAATCTTATTAAAATAATAAATTGTTAACATTTTAACCTTATTAAAATAATGAAAAATGATGGAAGAAATTTGAAGAAAAAAAAGATTTTTCTGTAAAATATTTATATATGGACCAAATTTTTTATATGTTTTATATTTTTTATGTTAAGTTTGCTAAACTTTTCTAAGATTAGAATTATATTTTTTTTAAAGTAGGCCAATCTTTAAATGCAAGATAGGAGTTTTAATTTTTTTTGTATTTTTTTTTGTAATGCTCGTGTATTTTAAAAAAGAAAGCTCATTTTCATAATTTTGTGGTTCTTCTTTTTTCTCTTTTTTGGAAACATATCTTTGTTATCAACCAAAAGAAAAATCTTTGACATGTTTTTGTCTCTTATTTTCAAAAATTCTCTTTTTTTTTGACTTTTTAGATAATTATCAGTTAACTTTTTTTACTAGTAAATTTGATTAAAAATTTTTTTTTTTATTAAGTAATGATATTAGTAAAAAAAAAAGGGCTTTTGGTTGGGCTGTTGACCTTGGATTCGATGGGTACGGTATTTTCAGGAACCTGCTGTGCGTGATACACAGAATGGTTGAATTCGTCGTCAGAGAGGGACCGATGTTCGAGGCAATGATAATGAATAGGGAAATTAGTAATCCATTGTTCAAGTAAGTATTTTATCTTACCTAGAATTAATAACATTTACAGTGGTAAAGAAGGCGGCAATCTTCCTGGATTAGACTGCTTTGTATATTTCGGAAGTAAAACTTGTATTTAATACTCTAAAGAAAACGGAGTGAACCTTATAATAGACCCCTATGTATATTTCAGAAGTAAAACTTGTATCAATAATACACTCAAGAAAACGGAATGAACCTTATATACACTCCTGGTTTAGACCCTGGGGTCTATTCCAGGATATAGCAAAGATGGCAAACCCTTCTAGATTCATGCTGAAAATTTTATGAAAACTTTCAAGTGTTTTAAAATAGTTGAAATAAAATTTGTTTGGTTATATGAGATGCTGCAAGAAAAAAAATACTATCCAAGTCTGAGCATTTGCAGAGAAAAACATTAATACCAAAAATATGAAACTACATTCATAACTGAATATTCAGTACAGTTTTTTGTGGTCAAAAATTATGTCCAAAAATTTGAAGTATCTTTTAAACGTATAATTGTATTTGTATCTTTGACCACAGGTTTCTGTTTGACAACCAGAGTCCAGCACATGTCTACTATAGATGGAAACTATTCTCTATCCTTAATGTAAGTTTTGTTAGTTTTGCTGAAAATACTTTTCTGTTTGGGGTAATATATAGATACTATGTATATTGTAGATAAAGACGTACATGACATGTATATCAATGGACCATTGAACCTAAAAACATACTCTGACATAAAAAGTCAATTTTTCTTGTGAAAAACTTCTGTTTATTATTATTATAAAGTTTGGTTTTATTTACTGATTGAGAGTAAACTAATTTTAAGATACCCATCTGATACACAGAGAAAAAATTTTACTTTGCTGAATATACATTTTAATATACTTAACAAAAGGAATTTATATGATAAAACTAAGAACTGGAAAACCTTTCATAAAATGGAATTGAGGGTGACACGCAATACTGTTGTAAGTCCTTCTGTATTTCATATAAGTTACTGTAGTTTTGCGATCAACCCTTGAAGTACATATATATTGCACGATACTGTAAATAAATATATTTCCTATATGTAGGGAGATCAACCATACAAATGGAGGCTCGAGGAATTCAGAATGTTTAGAGGAGGCTCATACTGGAAACCTCCACCCATGAATCCATATACCCAGGGCATGCCAGAGGAACTAGTAGAGCCAGGTGACCTTGACATCATACCAGAGGTCAAAGAAAAAGAAGAATTTGAACAACCGCAATTAAAGAAAGGAAAACTTACTGATAGGTGCTGCATTTCTAATAACATATTTCCATTTTCAGCCTTTTTATCACTAACAACTGTATTATAAAGTTTCAAGTCATTTATCTTCCACTCGGGTGCCCACTTTGCATGGAGGGGCGCCTGAGATCTTCCTCCACCAGTAAAACTGGAAAGTCGCCATATGACCTTTACTGTGTCACTTTGACTTAGAACTTAACTAAACAAACATCTTCCAAGTCAACATTTTTGTTTTCAATATTAAAAGAAGAGAGATTGATTTTAAGCTATTTATGTATTTTAATATTCAGCTCATGGACAACCTCTTACTCACTGATAATTTGAGGCATCTCGTTCAATGAAAAAACACTGTGTTTTACAGAAAATATTTAAGTAAGCGTATTGAAAGCTATTTCTAAGTAAATCACATGTTGTGTACTTGTATTTAAAAGATATATGGACACACTGGAATATTTGCTTTTTTCGGAATCCAGACTAAGTGGTAATATGGACTTTGATAAAATTTGACAACTGTTTTACTCTAAGTCATTCTATAACAGTTTTGTCTGTATTTTATAAGGTACATAGTATTAACATTTACGTTTTACATATTTGTGTTGTTTTGTAGTCAAAGAGACAGATTAGAAGATATGTTACGAGAATTGACGCCGGAGCGACAGAAAGTAGGGGACGGTATGGTCTGGTGTCTAGATCATGCTGACTCGGCTGAGGAGGTCGTTGAATGTATCACAGAGTCGTTGTCTATCTTACAAACACCTATACCTAAAAAGGTAATGTTGAAACAATTAACATATAGTTCCTAGTTAATGTGGATAATGTTTTGTTGATGATGTTTTTGTGTCGCCTCTACAGAGTAGTGGCGACATATAGGGATCACTTCTCCGTCGTCTGTCTGTCCGTCTGTCTGTCCGTCCATCACAAAACTTGTCCGGACTACTCCTCATAAACTACTGGTGCAATTTCATCCAAACTTTACAGGAATGATCAGTACCAAGTCTAGTTGTGCATATTGTCAGCATTTTCCGGTTCAATGATTTTTGTCAGAGTTATGGCCCTTTAATAATTTTTAGTCCCCTACCGGTTTACCGGAGGGGACTTTAGGTTTACCCTCCGTCCGTCTGTCCGTCCGTCCACAAAACTGGATCCGGCGATAACACAAAAAGTACTGAAAATATTTTAATGAAACTTGGTATATGGATAGATGGCAGTATGGAGATTATGCACGTCTTTTTCTTTTCTTCCTATGTTGAAAATTCTGGTTGCTATGGCAACAAATAGACTGAAAATATGGCAAATTTTACACATAACCTGGATCCCGCGATAACGCAAAAATTACTGAAATTTTTTTTATGAAACTTGATATATGGATAGATGGCAGTATGGAGATTATGCACGTCTTTTTCTTTTTTTTCCTATGCTGAAAATTCTGGTTGCTATGGCAACAAATAGACTGAAAATATGGCAGATTTTACACATAACCTGGATCCAGTGATAACGCAAAAAGTATTGAAAATATTTTTATGAAACTTGACATATGGGTAGATGGCAGTATGGAAATTATGCACATCCTTTTCTTATCTTCCTGTGTTGAAAATTCCGGTTGCTATGGCAACAAATAGACTGAATTTCAAGATTTCTGATTCTAGTTTTTAAGTTTTTTCACTATAAGTTCTTTATATCTTAAGGTATTTTCTTCAAACTTTAAAAATAAGTTGCTAGTCATCAACCACATCATATGTGCTAAAGTTTACAACTCTAGCACAAAATTTATCAGAATTACCTCCCTTGAACTTAAAATTTTCATGAAAAAAAACATCGTTTTTTTTAATAACTTCTTTTTTTCTGAACATATCTACTTCAAACTTCATATAAATGTTTCTTATAATCACTCAACATTTGTGAGTGTTCAATACTCTAGCAAGACTATTTCCAGAATTATGCCCCTTTTGACCTTAGACTTTTTTTTTGAGAAATTGGTAATTTTTACTCCAACTTCTTCAATCATGATAGAATTTTCTTCAAACTCCCACATCATTATAATATGACAAGGTTTATAAATCTAGCATCCATATGTCCAGAATTATCTCCTCCTTAAACTTTTAATTTTTAGCTCGACTATTCGATAAGAATAAGTAGAGCTATTGCAGTCACCCGAGCGTCGGCGTCCGCGTCGGCGTAACCACTTATGTTAAAGTTTTTGTAATAGTTCAAATATTTTCAAAGTCCATAGACATATGACTTTGAAACTTTGCACACTTGTTCACCATCATGACCCCAACCTGTAGACAGGAGGAGGTAACTCTATCAAGCATTTTGACAGAATTATGCCCCTTTTTCGACTTAGAATTTACGTTAAAGTTTTTGTAATAGTTCAAATATTTTCAAAGTCCTTTGACATATGGCTTTGAAACTTTGCACACTTGTTCAACATCATGACCCTAACCTGTTAACAGGAGGAGGTAACTCTATCAAGCATTTTGACAGAATTATGCCCCTTTTTCGACTTAGAATTTACGTTAAAGTTTTTGTAATAGTTCAAATATTTTCAAAGTCCATTGACATATGGCTTTGAAACTTTACACACTTGTTCACCATCATGACCCCAACCTGGAAACAGGAGGAGGTAACTCTATCAAGCATTTTGACAGAATTATGCCCCTTTTTCGACTTAGAATTTACGTTAAAGTTTTTGTAATAGTTCAAATATTTTCAAAGTCCATTGACATATGGCTTTGAAACTTTGCACACTTGTTCACCATCATGACCCCAACCTGTAAACAGGAGGAGGTAACTCTATCAAGCATTTTGACAGAATTATGCCCCTTTTTCGACTTAGAATTTACGTTAAAGTTTTTGTAATAGTTCAAATATTTTCAAAGTCCATTGACATATGGCTTTGAAACTTTACACACTTGTTCACCATCATTACCCCAACCTGTAAACAGGAGGAGGTAACTCTATCAAGCATTTTTTTTACTATCAAGCACTAAGAATAGTCGAGCGTTGCTGTCCTTCCGACAGCTCTTGTTCCTATTTGTTCTTTTAACTTTCATTTACTTCAATTTCCAAATAAATATTCAATATTCATACCTTCATTACTAATTGTTCTTTGTTACACTCACATCATGTATGACATCGTTATCTCCTTTTTTTTAAAAATTTTGCTTTTAAAATTTTATATTTTGATAACAGGGATGTTTAAAAAATAACTTTAGACTGTCCTTCAGTCCGTCTGTCTGTCTGTTCACTGTGATCACTTTTAAAGAACTTTTTCAACAAATTTACTTAAAATAGAAACATAAGTGAATGGCCAATGGCCCTTCAGAATGTTGCTTGGGCTCTTACCGGTAGGGGACTTATGGATTGCTTGCAATACTATGATAATTGCTTGTAATTTTTATTTTTAAAGTTTGTCCGGACTACTTCTCTTATACCACTAATGCAATTTCAATGAAACTTTACAGGATTGATCTGTAGCTCAAGTCCTTGCGCATATTGCACAGGTTTTCCGGTTGAATGATTTTTGGCCGAGTTATGGCCCTTTGATAAAAAGGTGTTTTTTTCTGTGTGTTGCCAGATACACAAAAGCTTGTCCGGACTACTCCTCATAAACTACTGGTGCAATTTTATCCAAACTTTACAGGAATGATCAGTACCAAGTCTAGTTGTGCACTGTCCGTCTGTCACAAAACTTGTCCCAACATGAAATTGGCCATCATGAGGCGACACATGTGATCACTGATCGCTCTTGTTGAGTTCAAAGGAGTAATCTTAATGGAAAGGCTAGTTTTGTTTGAAATTGCGGAGGGAGGGGGGGTGTCGGTTGTGGGAGTTTTATTACAAGTAGGTAATGTTTTAATCAGAGCAATTCTGCTATTGATAAGAGTTGGATTGTTTGTAATGAGGATGTGATGTTTGATATAGTAAGTGATGAAAATATTTAATTTAGAGTTAGAAATATTTATTATTTATTTAAAAGTAGAGATGGCTGCTTTTATTGATTTCAGTACTAGGTCTTTCTCCCTATTGTGTGCCAAGTTACTCAGAAGATTTATTAGGACTTGTATAGCTATTAGCCTAGCCAAGCCATCCATCCATACGTCCATTTCTGTAATACCCATCACAAGACAAGAAAAAAAAAATAGCTAAATTAATTGTAATGAAACTATATGCAATTTACTCCTCGTTTCATATTTTAATGCAATGCCTACAATTGTCTGGTACATTTAATGAAAATTAAAAACATGTTGATTTTAATCTTGTATTATTTTATTATTTCAGATTGCACGATTATTTTTGGTTTCTGATATTCTGTTTAACAGTAGTGCCAAAGTTCCTAATGCCTCATTTTTCAGAAAGCAGTAAGTATTAAAAGATATTGTTTATATATTGCTCAATATAGTGATGTAACCTTTAACCTGTTAGAAATTGTAACCAATTGTCTTTCTTTGTTAATATTTTTATGTAAAAGAAATCTATAAAAAATGCAGTTTTTATTGAAAAGAAAGTAATTTGGGAAACCTTAAAAATATCAGTGGGTAAATGGGATCACTGTATCATTTATTGTGAGTCTATATCATTCAAAGTGTACGGTCTTTTGCATGCACAAGCACCTGTTGTTTCCTTATTACTGTATAATGATTTATTACAAGCTTAATTTATTCAACTCGTTTAATTTCTTACAAGTACAGGAATTAGACCTGTTAACCCAGTGGATATCCATTCTTGTGTAAAGCGTTGGAAGAAGTTTTATTCCCTGAATATTTTATTTATTTTTAGCTCGACTTTTCTATGAAAAGGGGAGCTATCCTACTCGCCCCGGCGTCGGCGTCGGCGTTGGCGTCACACCTTGGTTAAGTTTTTCGTACCACCCCACTTTATTTCAGAAGTATTACAAGTATGGCTTTGAAACTTACCATACTTGTTCACCATCATAACCTCCATCTACAGACAAGAGTACATAACTCTGTCAAGGTTTTTGACAGAATTATGGCCCTTTTTTGACTTAGAAAGTGTATTGAGCTTGGTTAAGTTTTTTGTACCACCTCACTTTATTTCAAAACCATTGGAGGTATTGCTTTGAAACTGACCATACTTGTTTACCATCACGACCTTCATCAACAGACAAGAGGACATAACTCTGTCAAGGTTTTTGACAGAATTATGCCCCTTTTTGACTTAGAAAATACATTGAATATGGGTAAAATCCACTTATTGCCTTAACCCTTTGAGATATTGCTTTGAAACTTTTAATGCTATTTCACATCATTACCCCCATCTGTACGCAAGAGAAGGTAACTCTGTCAAGGATTTGTTTTAAAAATTAAGGCCTTTTATCGACTTAGAATCTTGGTTAAGTTTTTAGTACCAGTCCACTTTTTGACTGAACTGTTTGAGATATTAATTTGAAAGTTGGAATACTTGTTTACAATCATGATTCCCAAACATGTCCAGGAGAAGGTAATTCTGTCAAAGATTTTATTTGAATTATGGCCCTTAACTGTCAATGTTTTGTATTATAGGCAAGCACTAAAAAACTTAAAAAATCTAAAAAAATTCATTCCTATCCACTTGTTCACTTTACCATAAATTATGTCATATAAACATTGCTGTAATATTCAAGGGTATTGCCTTTTACTGCAAAAACTTTTTTTATTGGCAAGCAATAAAAAAGTCGAGCGCGCTGTCTTACGGACAGCTCTTGTTCATTCCTTTTTAACAGATTTCAAAGAAAACTGCCGGAAATTTTTCAAGATGTACATGAAACATATGAAAATATTGATGGTCGGTTAAAAGCAGAACAGTTTAAGGTCAGTATTGTAATTAAATTTGTTATTTGTATCATTGAACCCCATATATATATATATATATATATATGTAAATAATCTAGTAGACTTATAAATGGTTAAGATAAAAAATGTAAAATTGCCATTTTCTTTCTTATTAATGTTTAACAAAGCATATTATTGACTTATTTTCATAACAGAAAAAAAAGTGAAAACACACTTTTTACTGATGAACTGTATTTATTTGCGTCATTTTTTTGAAAAATCCATTATGGTGATAATGGTAGGTGAAATTTTTCCATGATAATTGATCCAGGACATTGAGTCTAATGGTTATTTGGCTCTAGCACTGATTTAGAAATCATGTATGATAAGTAATTGTTCAGTTATGGAGATATTGATAATTACTGGTTAGTTATCCTGAAAATGGTCAGATAGATCAACTGCAGTGATATGTCCAAAACATGTGTCAAAATAGCATTAAAACCAACCAAACAAAAAGGTTATTTCTCTTGTTGCTTTAGGTCAGAAAGGTGGGCAATATGAAAGGAAATTTAATTAAGTTAATTTTATTGTTGTTTCATTATTGATATGTCCCCACTAATTAGGCGGGCTATATATTCACCTTTGTCTGGCTACCACACTGCCCAAAACAGTGGGATGTTGGGGGCATCTGGACATATGAACACACTTCTAGTTTGTTCTATTGTAATAAATGAATATATCTTCATCGGCAGGAAATGTTTGACCTTTGTGAATACATTGTATATCATTACAATTTTTATTACAGCAAAAGGTGATGCTATGTTTTAGAGCTTGGGAGGACTGGGCAATATATCCAAATGAATACCTGATCAACTTACAAAATATATTCCTTGGTCTTGTTCCAAAAGAGGTAAGAAATTTGTGATTTCCTTATAGTTTATAATTAATTCTAATTGGTTCTTGAATGAATGCATGTGTATTTGGTGATGGGTATGTGAATTTGTAATTGAAAATTAGTTAGATAAGAAAGAAGCTGTGAAATTTAAAAGAATACAATTATGTTGCTGGAAAGCTTCTACTATGTTGTTTTTGTTTGTTGTTTGTTTATTTATTTATTATTAACTTTGGGAGTTTTTTTTAGGGGGGTGGGGGGGTGAGAGAGGGAGTTAAATATTTCTCAGTATCCAAAAGCTTTAAAAATACAACTGTTAAACTTGAGTAGAATGTGAGACTGTTTCTTGTAAGAAAAATGTTTTTTGCTTTTTCAAGTATAAATCAATTTTTTGAGATTTGGTGATAATGTCCAATTATTTCTGTGATAATTTTAAGCATGTGATAAATAAATATGACAGAAAGGCCTGTTACTTAGATAAAGACTTTGTAGTCCACCTGCTGAGCTCAAAAGTGAGAGCATCAAATTATTAATTTAGGGGAAGATTGTTAATATTTGACTTTTCTTAAGTCTTTGTACATTCTTCTAGAGTTTGATTTTCTTGAAATATTCTGGCTCAAATGGAGGCATGCAGCTTTAACAGCAAGACTTTGTTATTAATATTAAACCTGCTTTATTAAATGTACAAAAACTGTCCTATAACAATTTTGGGATAGCATGGTGATATTTTAAAGTGGTGATAATATTTTATTGCATATATACAGTAGATATAGATCAACTTTTACATTAAGATATGTATCTACACAATATATGAAAGTGTTGGGCCAAAAGTTTTTGCAACATTATCCTGGGTCCTCCCCAATCTGATTATAATCAGATATAAATGATGCTACAACTACTAGTCTGAATACTGTCCATTCAGGTAGATTAAGGTTTTAACAGCATGAGTTGCTTTGTTAAATATTCAGAATTATCCTTCTGTGTTTCTAATAAGATAAGGTGCTTCATATTTGCATATTAAGGGTTGACCTTAAGACTATTGTAAGATTTTCTTTATTTCGTAAAAGTTACTGTAGTTTATATCCTAAAATTAAAATATAGTGTTTCTGTCAGTAAAATGTAATATTAAATCTTTAGTTGGTAAGCCTATGCAAAATTAAGAAGTTTGCTTCAGAATGACCATTAGGACCTCTTCAACCTTGACCATTAGGTTTAAAAAAAAAAAAAAAAAAAAAAAAAAAAAAAAAAGCAACCAAGATTATAAAAAGGAAGGATCATATAATGGACTGTTACAGGAAATTTTGCCAAGTATAAATTCAATGTAAAAATGTATAAAATCTACAGTATATAGAGATTTTAAAGGCCAATTATTTTAACTTTCCCCAATTTTCCCTTTGTAATGCAATTTTCCCCTATTCCATAAGCCCTGCAACCATTTTTCCATGATTAAAAAAAAAACAACAAAAAACCAACACCGGTTTATTGCTTATATTGTAAAACTAAGGCGAAAAATATATATAAAACATATATAGAGATAAGTGTAAAAGTTTGAATGTATACAAATGTAAGGCTTTGTTTTTACAGTCTGTAGACGTAAAAGAAACCAGTGCGATACCATCTAGATCGAAACGTTCAAAAACAAGTGCTCCTAATCAAATGAATGATTTGTATAGGTCGTACCTTGACGTAAGTTGTTTCATTCAAGGCAAGACCTATATTGTGTAACCCTATTGATATGTTTAGGTTGCACCTAGCTGTAACTTTTTTCATTCAAGGCAAGAAGACATATTTGTAACCCTAACTTTGCTGAATTTATATAATGAACTTTTCCTGTTTTAAAGTTGGAATAGTTCATTGGTAGTTTCAAGGGATTTCAGTATCAGATATCAAATAGATAGAATTGTAGAGTCACTCTGGTCATACTGTTTTGGATGTGCAGGCTGGCTAAGGTGCCAGTTCATGCCTGAAATAACGAAGGGGCATCTGAGATCATCATTAACCGAATAGTCGCCATATGACATGTACTGTGTTGGTGCTATGTAAAACCCAACCAAAAATAAAAGAAATAAGAAGTTCTATATATGCAGATAGCATTCTATGTGGGTTAAAGCATATAAATTTTATTGCTTTTCTGGAAATTCCTGACATGTGAGACTAGGTGTGCTGGTGCGGACTGAAGGAGCACTGGTAATGGGTCATGTTAAAGGAGCAGTTCTTTTATTAAAACTAGATGTAAAAATAAACATGCTTTAATGTTAATTTAGATATCAATATTTATAAAAAAAAATGTTGATATAAAGAGACAAATTAAACAGGGAAGAAAATGCTTATGTTAATGAAGAATGCGTCTTTCTCCCAACTTATTGCAGTAAACAAGTATCAAAATACTGTGTATTTAACAATTTGATTCTTTGTAGTATTAAAGAAATCATGCATGTTAAAATATTCATTATAAAGTTACATAAATATGCTAAGTACTTTGGAGATCTTTTATAATTCTTCAATAAAAAAAATGGCAGTTAGTATATTTTCATAACATCAATTCACTGTCTAAGATTGAATCATAACTTATACATTAATCAAATTTAATCATTTAATCAGTAAATGTTTATAGTATTATATTGTTATAATATGTCTGCTAATGTGTGAGTATAAATCAAGTATATTTGACAAATAAAACATTAAAAAGTTTATATTGATTTAACCCATCCCCTTCTGAAAACGTGCTACTGAGCTGAAAATATTATGACTAATACTTTGGGGCATCTGTTATAATAAGCAAGGGATAGAATAACTGATCATGATGTGACTAGATAGGAAGCAGTGGTCACGTTTACGGCACTGTATTCAAGATCTAGAGGTAGAGAGTTCAAATCCTATGACAAACAAAGCTCGTATTCTTTAGCCCTAAATCTGCTTCAAGTAGTGGATTTACCCTGCTTTGAATTGGGAAGTCCATTCCAAGTATAAGAAATTTCAGTATCAGAGTATGAAAATTGGGGTAATCAACAGTAATACTGTTTAGAGCCTGGAATTTCGGGCTGACCAGGCTCTATACTGGCAGAATAGTTTTATGAATTTTGGTTTCCTGTCCGATTATTCCTATTATATTTGGAGCAGGCCAGGAATCAGTACCAGCCAGTTACATGCACTATTATTTATCAAAGCATGCTGGAAAACAGTTTTTCTGGTTTAATTTTGAAAATGTGTAAAATAATAATAATCTGTGTTTAAATGAATTCAAATAAATCATCTCTATTGACTTTGATTTTCTAGTATAGGTAAAAGTTTATTGTATGTTTTTTAAAAATTTAAATTTTGGGCCCAAAAGAGAAGCTGCGCGCCCAAAAATTTTTTTTTTAAAATTAACAAGTTCCAAACTTATAAATTTTAACTAGCTTAGTGTTTGAAATTATTTTTACAAACAGTCGATTTACTAGAGTGATTAACAGTTTGCCGATTTACCAAAGTAAATGATTGTGTTAGGATTCATTTGAAATACTGCAATGCTATTGGACAAAAAAATAATTTCAAACACTAATGCTAATTAAATCTTGTTTTGTAAGAATTTGGTAAATTTTGAATTTGTAGATTAATTAAAACTTAATTCTATTTTGTTAGTAAGTTGTATGTTATTATGTAAGTAGGTGTAACAACACATCCATTATGATGCATGGTATTTAATATTCACGGCCATAGTAACAAAATTCAGTAAAATTAGTTCAGCATGGAAATTAATACTTTTACAGTCACTATGATCACTGTTTGCTACCAGTTACATATTAACTTTTCAAAATATAAAGTTAAATTAAAATACTAAAATAAAAAAAAAGATTTACCTGTAACAGATGTTTATATTTTAATTATTTTATTTCATTATAGCTTGTGGGCGTGTCTTCACCTAAGGTTGAAGTGAAACACGATCTGGACGGAATCCCTCTAGCTGACCCGGACGTCGACGGGCTGCCGTTTGAAGAACCTGCCATAATAAAGAGAGCGAGAGATGATGATTTTGACGGTGCCCCTATACAAGATGATTTAGATGGTGCACCTTGTGAGTATATATGTATTATAACTGTTAAACATGTTGCTGTTCATCAGAAACATGCAGTGTGTTATTGCCTAGTTGAACTTTGATTTGATAAGTTAGTGATCTTAGTTGGTGATTTAAGTGGAGTCTGTGATTGGATGAGTTTTGAAGGGAAAGAGAAATCTTATCGTTTATATTTTATATCTGAGTTTGTTGAAATGAGGAGACCTATATTATTGAAGAGGTTTTTTCAATTTATAAAAAGAGTGGGGCAGGCTTTTTATACTGTACTTTAGGCAGATTTTTATTTTATTCTAATATTTTTGTCAATATCAACTGTTTGTAAATCAACATAACAATGGTTAATCCTTTGAAATATATAGTCAATTCAGCTCAACTTGACAATGAAAAAAATGAACATAATGTCACTTTAATAAAAAAAAAAGTTTATTTGTTGAAATTGCCCAAAAAACTTAGTATTAAATGTATGAACTGAATAATCTGATAAGTGAGAACTTTGTTTTTTGATTGCAATGTTCACATTGACATTTTGATTTTCCAATGGATATAATTTACCAGGTTATTAGTAATTATTTATTATATCTGTGGTTTGTTCTTACAGAGGGGAACCATGTTCAGATTTTAGAATGGTAATGCCCTTCTTTCAGCCCTAGCAAAAACCCAGCAAAAAACCGGGAAAGCCAAATCCTCGCCACAAAGTTTACAAAAATCTAAGTGGGAAAACAGTAATAGCAGAAACGGGAATATTAGAGGCTTTCAAGAATAAAAACCATGAAAACTTCAGTTAATAATTTTTAAACCAAATCTGAAAATAAAACATGATAATAATGCTAGCTGGCAACCATATATAACCCAATTGTAACCAGTGCAAGATCTGTTCACTGATCATGGGCTGCACTTCTCCACTAAATTCAGGTCAGTAAATAAATTGAAAATTTTCCTTTTAAATTAGGCTGAAATGGTTTATGTTCAGAAAAGAAAGGGGATGGGGGCAAGTTTCTAAAAAAATATTTTATGGTCTTAGGGCCTAAATTCCCCAAGGGGAGGGGAACGAATATGTTGAAACACGGGGGTGAAAATCTTCTTTCATTTTTTAGCATACAACATCAAAATGGGAATTTTACTTGGTTTTAAGAGGAAAAAATAAACCAAATTTTGAAAATTCCTTTAAAAGGGCAGTAATTAAAAATATTAAAATATTTTGTGGGGAATTTTTTTGGGGGAACTAAGTTAAAATATTTGTGAGGGTCTCTTCCATTTAAAAATATTAAAAAAGGGAGTTGCCAACTGAAGGTTTTAAAAATTTTTGTATGTCTTAAAGAAAAAATTTAAAATAACATAAAAGGGCCCCAAAGGCCAAATTTAAAAATTAAAAAAATTTTAAAGGGGGGTTTAGTGGCCCAAGGTTTTTGTGTCAGTGTTAAAAGTGATTGGGTTTTAAATTTATAGACCCACATTTAGCTACAGGTTCAAACACTTGTCACAATGTGCAGCCTGACCAGGACTTGAACCCAGGACCCTTGGAATACCGTTTTGCAGCTCTATTGACTGAACTACTTTGCTTCTTGCACAATTTCTTCCCTAGTTAGTAACATGACACACTGTAAGGAAAAGAAGCTTAATCTGGATATAAAAGGGTTGATGGTTCTACTGAAGTGCTGTCTTTTATGTAAAATAATACATGGTAGGGCACTAGAAATGTGACTGTTGTTGTTGTTTTTACAGACCAATAGATGATGATAACCTAGACGGTCAGGAGATGTCAGACTGATGATTTATCAAGATGATAGATCGCCGCAGGACTCGTACGGTACACCTAGACAACATCATCAGGTGGAGATGACTGAAGAGAGACGGAGAAAGTTACGCGAAATAGAGGTATGTAAACTTTGGAGTTGATAGGACAGAAGACAGAAATTTTATCCTTTTTTCATTTTTAGATGTTTTGAGAATAGGCTTCTACATTCTACTTTGTCACATGAATGATGGCATAGGAGTGCATTTAAGTGTCGTAGAGTGCCTTTAAATAAGAACAAGAATACACTAGTGTGATAACTTTGCATTATTATGTCATTTATGTTCTGTATAAACGTGTGTTTATTGTTCCCAGAAATTTTAAATCATTAAAGATTTGGCTTTTTGTGCACTATAATATGTTTTATTTTGTGTGGTTAAGTAACTTTACATCAAGTGGAATTGGGGGCATCCGTGGTTAGGATGTTCACTTCAGTTCACTTGCCCCTCACTGCTGTGGGTTTGAATTTCAACAGGGACTTAAGATTCTTTTATGTGAGGAAGCTAGCCAAAGGGCACTTGAGGTCTTCCTCCACCAGTAAAGCTGGAAAAGTTGCCATATGACCTATACTGTAAAACCAAACAAAAAATGAAAAGAAAAAGGTGGAAGTGCATAGAATATAGTGTTTTAGTTATGATGGATATATTGTGTTGATATACGTATGATAAATTTGCTGCAGGTTAAAGTCATGAAATATCAAGATGAACTTGAGGCAGGGAAAAGAAGTCGTAAACCTGGAATGTCAATGTCTCAACAAATAGAACATCATAGGAAAAAATTACTAGCTAAGGTAGGTAACTCTTTGATTATAAATTTGACAAGGTAAGGAAGATAACTCGGTGATTATTAAAAAAAATATTTGCTTATGTATGTAACTCTGTTGTGACAAAAATTACTTAGTTACTTTGTTTTACCATTTATTTAGCATCATTTACATATATGTAGATATATGTTGATATTGCTTTTGTAGAATTATTTGGGGTGTTGTAATCAAAAAACAATGCAATTTTAATTTTTTTATCCCCAACCTTGCCTTTCTTACAAAATCCCTAAAAATGGGAAAATTTTCTTTCCCCCGCAAATTTCCCAAATTTTTTTAGTGCCCGAATCAGTATTTTAAACGACTTTGTCTTAAAAAGACCAAATTTAAATTCCCCCCCGATCATTTTTCTCTCTATTTCTTTAATGTATTAAAGGCCACTTTTGGCTCAAACGCGAAAAACCCGGGGGACCGCTAATTTTCACCCTTAAAAAGACATCAATCTTTTCAAATTAAACGACCACTTTTTTCCTTTCAAGTAAAATTTTGTTTTTTGGAAAAACGCCACCTCGTTATGTCACAAGTGGGGCAAAACAATCAAAAGACAACAATTTAAAAGTGTTTAAAAACTCTATTTTCCCAACCGTTTTTGCGTACGCAAATGAAGTTAAGTATACGCGTGACGTGTATTATCCAATAATATCGGGATAAACAATGCAACGCTCCGTCCCATACTGAGATGGTGTATACGCTTCGCTTGTTGACATTTAGACTGCATTGAATTGACCTTGAACTTGATCAGCCATTAAATTAATCGTAACAAATACATTGTAGTTTGTTTATTTCAAATGAAAAAATGCACACAACAGAAAACATTATTCACTAAAAGGGTTTTCGTGTTGGAGACAAGGAAAAACAACGGAGAAGTTAAAAAATTCTGGGAAAAAATGTCAAACATGTACGTAATGGATCAAAACTGTTTTGTCAATAAATATTTCAGAACGTTATTTTTACATTTGCATCCGTTTAGGCCATTATCGGAGCGTATTCAACATTTATTATATAAAAATTGGGGAAATTTTAAAAAACCCAAACCCCCTCGGGAAAAAAAAAAAGATTTTCATTTATAAATTTTATTTTATATTTTATTTTCTGACTTTTCTTAAGGGACCGTTTCAAATTTAAACACCGTTTTTTTTTGTTTTCCCTTGCCCGGGCGCTTTAATTCCAAAGTTTTTACTGATTTTTGATGTGGGCATCACTTGCGTTATAAAACATAGCGTTTTAAAAATGCCCCTAAATGTTAAAAAAATATCATTGGCGTGGGCAATTTTAATAAAAAAAGAAAAAATTTAAAATTTAAAAAAATGGCTCTTTTTTGGTATGTGATAAAAAAGGAAAAAACTATATTTGTGTAGGTTTAAAAACTTAATTTTTTAAAACCCTTTTTTAATTGAGGGTGCCCTGCCCTAACCCTTTTATTTAACTTGTTTAATAAATTCAGTACTGAAGCTACACTTCATTCAATATCCTTTATGTACTAATATATATATTGATATTGCCGTTGTGGGAAAGGAAGTTATGAGGCTATACAGACTGAATGTAATTAATTGATAAATTGGACTATTAAACAGGAGTATAATGAATTCACCTAAACAGAGAAGCTACGTAAACGTCACAGATCAGGATCTCCACGTTACGATGATAAACATCATTATGATGATAGTCCAAAAAGAAAGAGAAATAAAAGGTTTGTTTCCATACAATAATAACAAAATATTGATCAAGTTTTGTTGAATATAGCCTTGTTCTGATATAAAGGACTTGATTTTATAGATAATTTGACTGTTATAAATAACATAAGATCTCATCATCTGTAAGAACAGTGTTAAAATCATAAACCATTTAATTGTCAAATTAGTGTCACTGTTTAGAACTGTTCACTATTTAGGGGAGAAGATGTGTAAGGTCAGATAGTTCAAGGTGGTAGAGCTGCGGAATGGTATTCTGAGGGTCCCGAGTTTCGAGTCCTGGTCAGGCTGCACATTTTCACACCCTGTGACATTAGAAATTAGGAAATAAGACGTTAACTTTTGAGTGCATTATTGTATTGTATTGGTTTCAGTTCAGATTTGCTGTGAGACAATGAATGAATATTAACTATGAAAATTTTATTATTTCAGTCCTAAAAGGTCACGTAGATCAAGATCAAGGTCAAGATCTCAGCATAGAAGGTCAAGGTCACGAAGTTCAGGGAGACAGCGGCGAAAATCAAAGAAAAGCAAACATAGGGACTAATTAAATTGCAATCATTATATAATCACTGTTAACATTAAATAAAACATTTGTAAATAGTTTCTTGTCATCAACTTGAAGGTGGAAATTTTGTAAATTTCTTTGTATGATATATAATGAATTGGACTGTAAGTCAACACTGATTAGATGTGATGTTTTTTGAGATTTTTTTTCATAAATCTAAACAGTACTTGAGTGTTGACCTTGATATTAGATTACTGCAAACTTAAAGATTGAATGAAGCTGAAAAACACTGTCCATTTTTCAGTAAAATCCTAAACAAGTTATGATTAGAGTTGTTCAGAATTTAGAAAAAAAAAACCTCCCTTTATAACAGTAAGTTATTATTACCCTTTAACTTAATACAACTGGTCACAGATTAACAGACATGATGATATTTCTGATAGTGACCATACAATATTTATTATATGATAAAATAAAACAATACTTACTAGATCACATCTTATGGCATTGAATTTCATGTTTATTTCTGTGTATATTCATGAAAATGTGAATTAAAACAGTAAATATACAACTAGTAGTTTGTTATTCCTGTAAAAAAAAATAACATCCTGTAATGAGCTATTCTATTTTGTTTTTTTGCCTATAACAAGACCTTCAAGTATCAAATAACGCATAAAAAGTCTTATTATGGAGTATCCGTGGCCAAGTGATTAGGTCAGTGACTTCAAACTACTTGCTTCTCACTCCTGTATGTTAGATCTGCACAAGCATCTTCCAGTTCTTTCATATGAGGATAGCTTACAGAACTTTGGTGGTTCTATTTGGGTGCCTGTTTGTGACTGAATTAATTCATAAGAGGGCACTTCCTCCACCAGGAAAGCTGGATAGTAGCCTATATATGACCAATACTGTTGCTGTGCCGTTAAATCCCCCCCCCCCAACCACCACCGGAAAATTAAATAAAAAAAAAATTGCTTTTTGGCATTAATTAAATACTGTAATGTGATTATTTCATATTGGAAGAGTTTTTTTTCGTGCATGTTGGTATCTCCAAAACTACTGAACAATATTGGTTGAAACATCACCCACTTGTTCTCTTTGATTATCTAACATGATGGGCACAGGTCTTGTAATTCTGAGTTACCTTTTATATAGAGTTTATGCCTCTTAACATACTGCTGTGCTCTTAAAATAGTGAAACGCACTGTCTTACAGTCTGCTCTTGTTGCTATCTACAAGTCGTGAAACTTGGGTGCGTGCTTCACAATCTAAACTTCTGCAGATCTTCAAAAATACAATTTACTCCATTGTGCACAGATTTAAGTGTTAGCAAAACATGTAATTTAGTACTTGCAATTTATAACACAAAGAAACGTCAACAATTTCAAAAGCTAGACAACGGGGGTTAAAATATCTTCAATGTTGTGGTTTGACCCCAATATCCCCCTGAGGGATCTCCCCTAGGGGCCGTAACGAGGGTTTCCCTTACAGCCATGGCGGGGTTCCCCCAGGACCGCCTCTTACGCCATTGGGGGGGTTTTGAGGGGATATTTGGTCCGAACCGCAAAATGTCAATATTTTTTTTGCATATTTGCCCTATTATTCATATTTAAAAAGGTTTTTCCTCAAATGATATATGTTCATGGGAATAAAATTATTATCCAAAAATATTTTTTAAATAGCGTATGAACTTACAACTTTAAAACAACGGGGGAAAGCCTCATCCCAAACGATATTTCCCTTCTAAAAAGAATCATTTTTAAAATGGGTTATTTTATAAAGGGAAAATGACTTGTTTTCACCACTCGTCTACACCACCGTGCCAGATGAAATTTTCGGCACGAGTAAAGCTCACGAAAATGCAAATCTGCTATGCAAGAATGAACTGTAAAGATTGCATTTGTGACTGGAAAATTGACAAACTGTTACAATGTTTTTGACATTTTGGAAAAATTTGCATTATGGGTCATCTTGGGTAAAAAAACTAGGTCAACATGTCAAATTAAAGAAATGCTTTGTTAATGCTATTGAAACCAAACCCTCGACTATATCTTCATCAAAAGAAAATCTTGATCTTCTTGTTATGTCATTGATTTAGGTTTACAATATATGATGATAAAAGATTGTAATGGTTGTTAACCTGGTGAGGGACACAAGAGCCATCATGGCCCTCTTGTTTTAGCTTTAAAAAATTAATAAAAATTTTTGTCGAACAACCAAGATAAAAAAATAATTCCTTATCAAATTATGGCAAAACTATGAAACTAACACATTTTTAAAATATCTTCTCTTTTTTTATTAAGCCTCTTCAATATATATATTAAATACAGCTTTATAAATAAAATGAACATGAGCAAAAAGGCAAGCACACAATCGTCAAATTTTAGCAAAAACAAATGTACAAATTGTTAGTAGCAATTTCAAAGCATACAATTGTCAGTAAACACATAATTAAACAAGAGCACTGCATGGAAAAGGTAACATGGGTAACATTTTTTTCCATAGACGCACAAGTGTCTGGATGAAATTCCTGCCTTTTATAATAGTTACACATAATATTACTGAAATCTGATTCTACTGTTAGATTTCGAAAAGTTCTAAGATTTAAAAATGCTGCTGTATTTAACACAATATTTAATGCATGCATTTTTATAAAACAACAAATTCAACAATAAAAGCCTACATTATCATAAACAAGAGCGATTAGTGATCACATGTGCCGCCTCATGATAGCCAATTAAAAGTTGCAGCTACTTCGCAGCAGATGACACAAAAATCATTTAGATGGCAAAATGCAAAATTTTTTCAAGGGGAGGGCCCTAATTTGGCCAAAAAACATTTAACCCAAAAACCGTTAAAAGGCAAGTACTGAGAGCAGTCAACATGTTCAGTTTATGAAAGCATTGTATAGAGGGGTAGTCTGGGCAAAATTAAAAAATAAAAATTATTAAAGGGTCATAACTCTAACAAAAATCATTGAACCGGAAAATGCTGATGATATGCACAACTGGACTTGGTATTGATCATTCCTGTAAAGTTTGGATGAAATTGCACCAGTAGCTTTTGAGGAGTAATCCATACAAGTTTTGTGACAGACAACGGAGAAGTGATCCCTATATGTCGCCACTACTCTGTAGAGGCGACACAAAAATACTGTATTCTCTGGATTATTTCTTTGTGAGCACTTTAAAGCAATCTTAATTCTTGATATCAACACTTTGTGACGAGTACGACCTAGGTCATAGAGATTATTTCACAGCAAAAAGCATTGAGGTATAAACACCAAAAATCATGAGAAATCGATTTCCTCGAGTCCAATTTTGTTTGCGTCTTTATACGCCCAGCAGTAACAGTAATGGCTCATCAGCTGATCTAACAACTCTCTCTCATCTAAAAACTCGAGCCTCTCCACTCTGTAACAACAGAACAGAACAGATTTTATTATACAATATGACTTGAACCATAACAGTTCCTGGTCATAACAAAAATACACAGCATACATTAAATACAGCGAGAGTGAAAATACAACAACAAAAGCAATCAAAAAATATTCAGAACCTCGTCTAAGAAATTTAAAACTACTAATTTCACTTGTTTCTATAAACAGTAGCAAAGTCTGATAAATTTCAACTGGTTATGACAAATCTGAATTCAAATCTTTATTATCCAGCCTCTGTAACAACAGAGAAATTACAATTTAATTTTTTAGAACCTCATCTTTGAAATCTAAAATTCAGTCTTTCAAGATAGTAGTCCAATATATCAGACGTTACATGCTTGTTATAATATATCAAAGCGACATCATATTTATAGGACTATCAAGATAGTTGATACACAAATTGCTATAAATTGTAAAAAAATTTGCATAATTTAAACTGGTAATGATAAATCTAGGTCTCATATTTCTTTTTCTTTTACTTTTTCAAAAAAGATCTATAAATGTAATACGCAAAAGATGGTTCAGCTATCATGGCAATAGGTAACTTTTTTTTTTAATTGTTACCGGACACCAAAAATGATAGGCTTTTGAACAAACAAAATAAGAAGCAATTTTTATGTTTTAACAAACCTTCATTTCTTAAGAAAAGTTTATTAAAAATAAAACAATACAACTATATTACCTCTGAACATCAGCCTGAGGAAGACTTGATAGCACATGCCTCATCTCCATGGCATCAGCACCTTCAAAACCATGGTCTATGCACCTGAAATACATCATAATATCATGGTCTATGCACCTGAAATACATTATAAAACCATGGTCTATGCACCTGAAATACATTATAAAACCATGGTCTATGAACCTGAAATATATTATAAAACCATGCTCTATGAACCTGAAATATATTATAAAACCATGGTCTATGCACCTGAAATACATTATAAAACCATGGTCTATGCACCTGAAATACATTATAAACCATGGTCTATGAACCTGAAATATATTATAAAACAATGGTCTATGCACCTGAAATACATTATAAAACCATGGTCTGTGAACCTGAAATATATTATAAAACCATGGTCTATGCACCTGAAATACATTATAAAACCATGGTCTATGAACCTGAAATATATTATAAATATGGTCTATGCACCTGAAATACATTATAGATATCATGGTCTATGCACCTGAAATACATTATAATATCATGGTCAATGCACCTGAAATACATTATAATATCATGGTCTATGCACCTAAAATACATTATAAATATCATGGTCTATGCACCTGAAATACATTATAATATCATGGTCTGCACCTGAAATACATTATAATATCATGGTCTATGCACCTAAAAAACATTATAATATCATGGTCTATGCACTTGAAACATAAAATGGTCTATGCACCTGAAATACATTATAATATCATGGTCTATGCACCAGCTACAAGTCCAACTGCTTAGCTCAATAGATAAAGCAACAATTTATATCACATGGTTTGCTTAGTCAATTCCTTGATGAGATTAACTTTCTTTGTGATAAACTGACTTCATACGTCGAGTATAATGATCATTTGTCTCTCACTGCTGATTCAGAAATCCTGTGAGATTAGTAATTTATCACTTGTAGAGAAATTGGTTATCCATGAAAGCCTGTTTAATGAATTGACTAGCAAGATACCGGTATGACCAAAATTAATATTGTCTTGAAATCAGTGAAGAAAGAAAAACAACAGACAAATAATAAATCTGTAATAAATAATACTGTATGTGTAGAAATATTCGCGGGCTTCAAATTTTTGCGATCTTCGCGGTGACATTCGATCCGCGAATTTATGTTCAGCGCGAATATTTCTACACATATAATTTCTTAATAGTCATATTTTCGCGCATCTATAGAACAATGTATATCAGTGTGTTCACGGCTGCCATAAGTCTGGTAACCGTGGCGCTTTCAAAGTGTGATTTTACTGTTGTATAAACTGTTCATGTAACATTCAGCTCTGTATATTAATCAGTTTGCTAGTGTATTATTGTTTGACTGATATGATTATCGGATGCATGTATAAGTATATACATTTTTGAATAATACCATTGCATCATGCTATTTATTTCATAGTCTGAGTCATAAAAGTCTTGACATCTGATCAGATTATATTTTGTTTTTCTAAACAAACAATACAAATAACACAAACATTAACGATTCTAAATGATGAAAACATGGAAAACAAAACACAATTACTCAGTCAACATCTTAACAATATTGGTGAAAAGATTATGGTCTCATTCATTGCTGTTTAAAACTGTGAAAAATCACGCACGTTAACGGACGTTCTTTTGTTTGCAATAATCTGTCCACTAGACAAATTGAATGTCTTTATTCTGTACAATAGGGTATTGTTTGACACCAGGTGTTGAAAATAACTGTGAAATCCCACAATGATTACATTAAAAGTATGTCAAAGGAAAGAAAACTATTGCCTAATCGTGTTAGAGTAATTTCCCTTATTTTCAACATGATGGGTGTACGCGAATTTATGATTTACGGCAGTCACCTCCGCGAATTCAAAATAGCGCGAATATTTGTATATACCCCCAAAATGGACCTTTCCGCGAATTTAAATACACATACAGTAACTCTATGGTCTCACTAGTAAAGTAAATATTACCTTTTAATTTGAGTTTGTAGACTGGCACAATATTCACTATGTAACATGCATTCTCTAGAACGTAGGTTCTCCATCATAATCTGACCAAATCTGTCACCCATGTTCACCTAAATATCAAGCAATCAGTTAATCAAATGTGAACCAGATCTTAACCTTTTATCCTCCAAAGAGTATTTATCTTGTAACAAATTTCTAGTCAAACTCACTATGTCAAGACGAAATTAGGCCCTGTCTTATAAGTCATCAGTGTTATAGGTGAGTAATTAAGTATAGGTTAGTGTTTAATAATATGTATTAACAAAAATAATTGGTCAAGCCTGCCGCAGGCAGGCGACCAATTATTTTTGTTAATGCATATTATTAAACATTAACCTATTTAATGATCAACATTATTTTTTCAACCAAAAACAAGGCATTTCACTAAATCACCGATAGCTCCGCCCTTTCGCTCTACAAGATGTCTACACCTTGTCAAGTTTCTAACATATCACATTTAGATATAAGCTAAATAAATGGCCCTGATCAACAAATAATAAGGCACATGTTTTCTGAAATGTCACAGAATTTATACCTTTATCTACAGTAAAACAGTTCATTTTTTTTCTGTGTATCAATTTAGGTTTACAGGTGGAGGGGTCCATTAACAATCAGTTTTCCAGCCAAAAATGTAATCATTGTATTCTTAATATCAATGATTGTTAATGCAGTTCATTCCTATCAAGTGGAAAAAAAAATGTTTTGGAAAATATAAAGTTTAAAACAGTCAGCAATTTATAACAGACATTTTTCTTACAGTTAAAAGGATATAAAAAAGTTACTATGTAATCATTTGTCTCTACATGCCCCACATATATTATCTATGTAATAAATCAATTGGTTGTATCCTCACATTTAGAAACACCTGACCTCGACTAATTTTTTTATGTTGGCATTGTTTTGCTAACCTTAACATTTTACAAATCAGAGTGTAAACCATACCTCTAACTCCTCCCTAATATAATGCATTACTGAAATTTGTTAGACTGCGGTTAGACGACAGATTAAGTGAATTTTATTTAGTTAGTACACATTAACCAAAGTTAGACTAAGCAGAAATTTGAAAAATACTACAATGTGATTGGACAAAAAATAATGTTGATCATTAAGTAAAGTACATGTAGTTTAATAATTTACAATATTGTACAGACAGTGAGTTTTCTCACTTAATTGGGAAGAGGCCTTAGCCTCTTTTTGAGGAAAAATAATATTGCTAAAATTTCCAATTTGGGAAGAAAACAAGCTGTTGTAAGTAAAACTGCATATTTTCAAAGAAAAATTCCATCGGAAAGAGGCTTTTTATAGGCCTCAGATATATATTAAGGTGAAACATGACTGACAGGTGACAATATTATCTAGCCAGTCCAGATTCAGGTTGACCCTAGTCAAGTGGCAAAAGATTTTAATAATTGCTGTTAATACTCTAAGAGAGTTTATTATGTATAACACTGTTCCTTAATATTTCCCTTCCTTACAGACAATCTAAATCTTTGAAATAAATTTTGTCACTGGAATTTTTAATTAGAGGCTCTTTCCAAAAATTAAATATTTGTGAAAAGCCTGATTACTTAGAACTAAAATGAGGGGTGTGGGATAAATTTAATAAATAAGGCGATAAAGTGCATGAATATGTTATATACCTAAATCAATCCATCATTTTGATGAAAAGTACAAAATGTGTTTTCAATTCAAATATGTCACATGGATTTGTAAAAGGACTTTGACTACATTACTTCAACTGTAATTTGAACACTACATAATTTTAACCAAGAGAAAAAATTTATACACTGCATGTTTTTTTAACCATTTTAGTGACAAATAATGTTTGTTATTTTGTACACTATTAATCTAATGTATAAATGTGAAACATTAGTATTTGGCCAATGAGAATGCCTAAATGCTCCTATGTCCCTTTTTTGAGCTAGTGCAATTGTTTCCTTTTTTTTTATAAGTGTCATATTACTGTGAATTCACTTAATTTCATGGGCATGAAATTTTGTGGTTTTGTCACAAAGAACATTTTCATGGGTCCTTCAATTTGTGGACTATTTATTTTTTGAAAAGGAGGTAAAATGTAAATTATATGATGTAAAAAAATTAATAAGTAATCAAATATCAATTTTGTTAACCGATATTTGGACGTTTGATCGAGAACTTGGTTAACTGGTCACTCAATGCCATCCCTTAAAATAAACTTACAGCAGAGGAAAATAAAATTTTGTTGGATTTTTATTAAAATCATTGATTGACATATCCACGAAAACCACGAAAATTAGTGCCCCACAAATAATAATGATTCTGCAGTAATCACTTACCTGCTCATAATAGATAAGTAATACCGTTGGAAAGTTTTTTGTTATCCAATTAAACAAATTATCTGTATCAGATTTTTCAATGTACACTAAGACACATTCCGCGATGAAGAGTGTAGGCAAGGATTTGTCTATCCCGCACTCTTTGAACTTATGATCAAGTTCGTTTAAGTTTTTTAGGTTAGCTGCAATCAGATGATAGTCTTTACTGTACAAATCTGTGCTGCTGAACTGAATGTCATCATCTACAAAATATTATACCATTATATTATTATTTAATAATTCTGTTTTATTCTAATTTTAACATGAAATAAGATACAAGATCTTTTACCAATAAGATTTTTTATGTACATGCACAAAGTTCTAAAATCTTTCATTGCAAAAATTTGCAATGTTTTTATCATACTGCAATGTTTTTTATCATACTGATTATTTTGAGCTTGGGCAGAAAATGATCGCAATGATATGGCTAATTATCATAATACATCATGTAGATAAGCTTGAACAAATATTGTGAGGTGGTGAGACAAATACTGCTAAATGTTGAGCTGAAAACATCTTCAGTCATCAATTGATCACTTGCTATTACCTTTTTTTTTTGCAGGACAATTTGTTATAATATATATTATTATGATTGTAATAATTTCTGCTTTGTTCTAACTAAAAAATACAAGATCTTTTAGGTATATAGCTTAATCACACACTGTACATCACTGTTTGTGAATAACTTTCAATGTTTTTATCATAGTGATCTGAACACATTTTGGTCATCAATTGATCACAGGCTATTGCCCGTTTTGCAAAACAATAAGTTCTAGAACAAAAGGTTTCATCAGCTATTCTGTATTTGTATTTAATTAACAAAAGTAACAAGTGTTCGTTAACAGAAATTAGCTTTTTATTCAAAAATGTGTAGCTGTGAGGTTTCTCATTTGAAGTCAAGCTGGATTAAATGAAAAGAATGATATATTGTAGTCAAAACGGTTGAGAAAAAAACAACATAAAATGTATTCCTGAAATTAATTGGCAGCAAATGATGTAGATGTAAGAAAAAACCAGTTAACATGCTCTTGGAAAATTCAAATGATATTGATCTGTTTAACCCTTCCCCTGCTGGTGACAAATGACCATTGTACATTGAAGATCATCCATCTCATCTTGGCCTACACAATGCCCTATTCAGTCAGTACACATTTTGAAATTTTCCCAAAAAATGATGAATGGTTTTGTCAAGATTGAAAGATCCATTTAAGATAATAAGGGTAGTAAGGGTTAAGTATATTACCTTCGCTTGTGATTTTCTGCAACAGGTCCTGTGATCGTCTTATATACTGTATTTTCCTGGATGTAACTGCTGAGAAGTCAACCTCGATGTACGAGACAGGATTGGTTCCTGCATCCTTCAAGTTCCAGTACAAGCTGTCAAACCCCGCACCAAGGCTAACCACTTGACACTTTCCTTTTGTCAGCTATATTACAAAGACAAGTTTGTATATTACAGAGAAAAAGGTTACAAAAAATATATATTTAAATATTACATTTATTTTAGATTCACATGACTGCATAAAGAATATGAACAAATCTATAAAATCATCAATTTGCAAAAGTAAAACTAAAGTTTTAACTGAAGAGCATTAAATAAAAAATTTTCAAGGATAAATAACTTATTTTTAATGTCAAAATCAAGTTAACGTTAAGAGAGAAATGAGATCACTTAAGATAATCCTATCAGTTAAACAAATAAGCAATAACATGAAGGTCATGTCACACATATACTGTACTCCCTTTACAGTACCATGTTAGAAAATCAAATGGTAGCAAAAAGGCCAAGGCTGAAATGTTCAAGAGGTGAAAGGTCCTGACAATGAAGTTACATCTGTGATGAGACAAGTTGCACAGCAAATATGACAATTAAATATGACAGTATAATTATGAACCGGGACAAAAAAAGTAATAATAACTGATATAATATTGTGTCTTCAGCTCAGCTACAGTTCTCCTGACCTGTTTCATAATATGGGGATGTCAAAAGCCGGGACCGCAAAGTGGGCCCGGTGGCCTGGGAATTGCTTGCCAGACTATAGATTATAAACGTGCATATTTAAAAGGAAATTAAATTAAAACAATTATAAAAAGATTTCTGTAACTAACAGTGATATTTTCAGTGTCATTTCTAGTTAGGCACCGCCATAAAAAAACTCACACAATGATAAGCAATGCTCCTTAATATAAAGGAACTATCACAACTTTTTGGCTTAAGAATAATTTTCACGGTGTTCAAAAAGAAAACAGAAATATGGCATGAAATACTAAATGACACATTTAAAATGAAAAATGTAAAAATAATATATAAAATGAATGAAAGTTTTTTTAACCAACTTCCCCTTTGTTGGCTTTGCCTACTTTCGTATTAGCGAGCTCGATGAGCTGGCCTGAAGGGCCTACTCGTAAAGCGAGCTTTACGGTAATGCGAGTACCTGCTAGATAGTAATGGTTTTGAAAACTTTCGTCAGAAGTACCGAATTGACACATCGCAACTTTTCGAATTACAAGCTATAACGATAAAAGCCGATGTACTCTGATTGAAAACGGAAGCGTAGACTGGTGTCCTGCGCACCTATATAGGAACCATAATAGAGAGGGGAAAAGAGAATAAATGGAAGCAGTGTATAAAATACCGAATGACAATTTTAAAACGGAAAATGTAAAATAAAAATGAACGATTATTTTAAACTATTACGGTAAAAGAAAATCGAGCTTGCTTTGAGGCTTTGCCTTTATTATATTAGCAACAATTTTGAACCATTTGGTTAAGGCAATCAATAGAAGCATACCGCAATAAACTTTTCAACAATCAGTCTTAGCCCTTTCACTCTAGCATAATAACCAATGCTAATCTCTGGTGCATGGGTCTGTTTTGGTTTTGGAGTAAACATCGAAATGTAATGGTCGGTCCAATAGCCCTTGTCAACCGCAAATCTTTTACACTGGGACGCGTCATCATTGGTGGCTCTAACACCTTCTTCACTAGACATTTTTATCAGTGTATTTACACAAACCACTTCAAAATCATGTTTTTAGTCGGAAATATTTTAAGATTTGTTTACATCGGTTTTTAAAAACGGCGTTTGTAAAAAGATAATTTCGTGAGAATTAGTGTAAACGGTGTTGAGGTGGAAAAGTCCATTGCATTTTCGAAAAATGATTTCTCATCAATAATTATTGTGGTCTGTATTTGGTTGGTTACTTTGAAATATATGTAAACAAAAACAATTGTTTATATCATTTAATTACATATATCAGCACTGCTTTTACTGTCATATCGAAAATCCATCCTTTTTTCCTTTTGTCTTGACTATTCACTCAAAATCCAATTTTGTTTACTCCACCTACTGTAGTTAATAGATATATATGTGATAATTAAGGCTCCCACGTTTACAATTTTTTGTAAACGTTTACACGACTGCTAAGAACCGAAACGATACCGTTTAAACGGTGGTACCTCTATGTACCATACACACCATGTATTTGAGTCACCCAAATGATGTCTTTCTTTCTATTTTTTAATACTTGTACAAATAAAGAATGTGCCAAGGCTCATCAACCGATTGAGTCAGCACAGGCAATTTTTTGCAAATTGTAACCCCATTTTTTTACCAAAATGGTATATTATGTCACCAGCCCATTTTGCACCTTATAAAGGGGTAATGCTTGTGTGGAGGGTTGTAAACATCCATTTTCCCCGTTTGTTTACTTTTGGAATAAACCACTAGAATGATAAAATCCATGAATTACAGGTAGTCTCGATTACAGGCAATGATTAAGAAATTTTGTAAGACAATATGGTCATTTCGATTAAACAGTAAACAATATCGTAAACGTTTATGAATGAAAATCGAAATATTCTGTTTAAACGTGTAATCGTGGTGGGCCTTAGTGATAATGTGTCCTATATAGGTCTGTTCACTTAATAATTTGAGGGAAATTTTTAACATGGCTGGTTAGCTCAGTCCAGTTACGTAATGTTAATATGAAAAAGGCAAAGCCTCAAAGCGAGCTCGATTTTCTTTTACCGTAATAGTTTAAAATAATCGTTCATTTTTATTTTACATTTTCCGTTTTAAAATTGTCATTCGGTATTTTATACACTGCTTCCATTTATTCTCGTTTCCCTCTCTATTATTGGGTTCCTATATAGGTGCGCAGGACACCAGTCCTACGCTTCCGTTTTTCAATCAGAGTACATCGGCTTTTATCGTTATAGCTTGTAATTCGAAAAGTTTGCAATGTGTCAAATTCGGTACTACTTCGGACGAAAGTTTTCAAAACCATCAGTTAGCAGGTAACTCGCGTTACCATAAAAGCCGCTTTGCGAGCAGGCCCTTTGGGCCAGCTCGTCGAGCTCACTATAACATAAACAGATAAAAAAGGCAAAGCGTCAAAGCGAGCTTGATTTACTTTTACCGTGAAATAGTATAAAATAATCATTCATTTATGTTTTACATTTTCCATTTTAAAACTGTCATTGGATATTTTACACATTGCTTCAGTTTATTTTGGTTCCATGTCCTATTATGTTTCTTAGTTCCGATAAAAGTGCATAGGACACCAGTCTACGCATCCGTTTTCAATCAGAATTCCTCGGCTTTTATAGTTGCACTATTTTGACTGTGTTACAATATGTTGATTGTACTACAATCTGTTGACTTTATTACAATCTTTTGACTGTATTGCACTATATTGACTGTATTACAACAGGGCTTCCATTAAGTCCCAAAATTTGGAAGTCATAGACTGCAAATTGTCTAACATTAGAAGTCACATTATTAAGGTAAAGAAGGAAAAGCATTATATATTTTGGAAGTCACAAGCAAAATTGAGGAGTAAATAACTCCCAAACTTCCATTAATGGAAGCCCTGTTACAATATGTTGATTGTATTACAATATGTTGACTGTATTACAATCTGTTGACTGTATTGCAATATGTTGACTGTATTACAATCTGTTTACTTTATTGCAATATGTTGACTGTATTGCAATATATTGACTGTATTGCAATCTGCTGACTGTATTGCAATTTGTTGGCTGTATTGCAATCTGTTGACTGTATTGCAATATATTGACTGTATTGCAATCTGCTGACTGTATTGCAATTTGTTGGCTGTATTGCAATCTCTTGACTGTATTACAATATATTGACTGAATTGCACTATATTGGCTGTATTGCAATCTCTTGACTGTATTGCAATCTGTTGACTGTATTGCAATATGTTGACTGTATTGCAATCTGTTGACTGTATTACAATATGTTGACTGTATTACAATCTGTTGACTGTATTACAATATGTTGACTGTATTACAATATGTTGACTGTATTGCAATATGTTGACTGTATTACAATATGTTGACTGTATTACAATATGTTGACTGTATTACAATATGTTGACTGTATTACAATATGTTGACTGTATTGCAATATGTTGACTGTATTACAATCTGTTGACTGTATTACAATCTGTTGACTGTATTGCAATATGTTGACTGTATTGCAATCTGTTGACTGTATTGCAATATGTTGACTGTATTGCAATCTGTTGACTGTATTGCAATCTGTTGACTGTATTGCAATCTATTGACTGTATTGCAATTTGTTGACTGTATTGCAATCTGCTGACTGTATTACAATATGTTGGCTGTATTGCAATCTGTTTACTATTGCAATATGTTGACTGTATTGCAATATGTTGACTGTATTACAATATGTTGACTGTATTGCAATATGTTGACTGTATTGCAATTGACTGTTGACTGTATTGCAATCTATTGACTGTATTGCAATCTGTTGACTGTATAGCAATCTGTTTACTAATTGCAATCTGTTGATTGTAAAATTTGTATTGCAATCTGTTTACTTTTTCAATCTGTTGATTGTATTGCAATATGTTGACTGTATTACATCCATCATAGTAAAGGCCCATTATATCTCAGAATTGCTATCAATTGTATTTCTCAAAAACCTTTTATTTTTGGTATTTTGATATATAGTTTCCAAAATTATACTTATTTTCCATATACATGAACTATCTTTTCCTGCTTTTGTTCTTTTAGCATAGGTATACTTATAATGACTAAAGTATTTTGTATACTACTTTGTTTACATTTTGCTATCTTTATTGCACATTAAACACATTTTTGACATTTTTGAAAAATTAAAAAATATGAATTTCTGAGCCGCATAATGTTCCTTTAAATATAAACCTTAAAAATGAAAATGTATATAATGGATATACAATATTTTGATGGAATTGCTTTTACAAATGTTTGTCATGAATAGAATTCTCAGTGAGGTTAACTGTCTGATAATTTTACAGGTAAATATTAATCTTCATCAAGATGGGTGTGCATGGTTTGTGGCAATTGTTAAGTTCTACAGGTAAACCTGTACCTCTAGAATCTCTGGAAGGAAAAGTTCTCGCTGTTGGTAAGTGATAAATATATAAACACACTAAATAAATGTCTTAATATTTAAGGCGGCCTTCAGCTTTTATATTTTGATGGACAAACTAAGTATTTCAGTAACTTTATCTTCGAAAAGTGCATCATATTACTGTTTAGCCTTCTTCAACACAGTGTCCCGAGAGCTATTTATAACCTGACAGTGATGTTTGTTGCTAAAAATAGAAGATAGGGAAACATATCATCCGCTTTACTAATTTACATATAAAGAGTGGACCAGTAGATTAGTGGTAGGGGTTTTCTTATTGTTTATGTATTTTTCATTTTCCACCTTAATTCTTTTGATTTAATAATTATATGAAACAATTTATCTAAACTAACATATTTTGCCTTTACAAAAGCTGAAAACAATATTTTGCTTGCCAGAGGCTCGCATAATATGGTCTTATTCAGCTCGTTCAATAAATTATTAGTATTAAACTACACTCATTTAATATCCTCTATATATGTTTAAACTTCATACATTTCTCTTCATATGGGATACAATACACACAAGATTCTATCATCAAATCACCACAATAATAAAGAAAGTGACCTTTTTAGCTCACCTGTCACTTTGTGACAGGGTGAGCTTTTGTGATCGCTTTTCGTCCGGCGTCCGTCCGTCCGTCGTCCGTAAACTTTTACTTTAAATGACATCTCCTCATAAACCACTAAGCCAATTTCATCCAAACTTCACAGGAATGTTCCTTTGGTGGTCACCTTTAAAAATTGTTCAAAGAATTTAATTCCATGCAGAACTCTGGTTGCCATGGCAACCGAAAGAAAAAACTTTAAATATCTTCTTTTAAAAAAACCGTAAGAGCTAGAGCTTAGATATTTGGCATGAAACATCTTCTAGTGAGTGTCTACCAAGTTTGTTCAAATAAAAGCCCTGGGGTCAAAATTGGCTCCGCCCCGGGGGGTCATTGATTTTCCCTATATACATATAGTAAAAACTTAAAAAATCTTCTTTTAAAGAACCAAAAGAGCTACAGCTAAGATATTTAGCATGAAACATGTTCTAATGGGTGTCTACCAAGTTTGTTCAAATAAAAGCCCTGGGGTCAAAATTGGCCCCGCCCCTGGGGGTCATTGATTTTCCCTATATGCATATAGTAAAAACTTTAAAAATCTTCTTTTAAAGAACTCAAAGAGCTATGGCTAAGATATTTAGCATCAAACATGTTCTAATAGGTGTCTACCAAGTTTGTTCAAATAAAAGCCCTGGGGTCAAAATTGGCCCCACCCCAGGGGGGTCATTGATTTTCCCTATATGCATATAGCGAAAACTTAAAAAATCTTCTTTTAAAGAACCAAAAGAGCTAGAGCTAAGATTTTTAGCATGAAACATGTTGTAATAAGTGTCTACCAAGTTTGTTCAATAAAAGCCCTGGGGTCAAAATTGGCCCCGCCCCGGGGGGTCATTGATTTTCCCTATATGCATATAGTAAAAACTTAAGAAATCTTCTTTTAAAGAACTCAAAGAGCTAGAGTTTAGATATTTAGCATGAAACATGTTCTAATAAGTGTCTACCAAGTTTGTTCAAATAAAAGCCCTGGGGTCAAAATTGGCCCCACCCCGGGGGTCATTGATTTTCACTATATGCATATAGTAAAAACTTAAAAAATCTTCTTTTAAAGAACTCAAAGAGCTTTGGCTAAGATATTGAGCATCAAACATGTTCTAATAGGTGTCTACCAAGTTTGTTCAAATAAAAGCCCTGGGGTCAAAATTGGCCCCGCCCCGGGGGATCATTGATTTTCCCTATATGCATAAAGTAAAAACTTAAAAAATCTTCTTTTAAAGAAATCAAAGAGCTATGGCTAAGATATTTAGCATCAAACATGTTCTAATAGGTGTCTACCAAGTTTCTTCAACTAAAAGCTCTAGGGTCAAAATTGGCACAGCCCCGGGGGTCATTGATTTTCCTTATTTGTGTATAGCAAAAACTTAAAAAATCTTCTTAGAGTTAAGATATTAAGCATAAAACATCTTTTAGTGAGTGTCTCCAAAGTTTGTTCAAATAAAAGACCTGGGGTCAAAATTGGCCCCGCCCTGGGGGTCATTGATTTTCTTTATATGTGTATAGCAAAAACTTAAAAATCTTCTTTGAAAAAACCCAAATAGCTAGAGTTTAGATATTAAGCATGAAACATCTTCTAGTAAGTGTCTACAAAGTTTGTTCAAATAAAAGCCCTGGGGTCAAAACTGGCCCGGCCCCAGGGGTGTCATTGTTTTTAACTATATGTGTATAGTAAAAACTTTAAAAAAATCTTCTTTCAAAAAGCCCAATGAGCTAGAGCTTAGATGTTTAGCATGAAACATCTTCTTATGGGTGTCTACCGAGTTTGTGCAAATAAAAGCCCTTGGGTTAAATTGGCCCTGCAACGTTGGGTGGGGGGGCCTATATACAGGTGAGCGACCTCAGGGCCATCATGGCCCTCTTGTTACAAAAAAAAATTTGTAATTTAAAGTTTCAGTTTTGGAGATATACATATTTAAAATGCATGTCCTTACATTTAGATAACTTTATTAAATATTTTTTGATTATACATTATATTCTATTTTTGTAAAAAAAGATTTCACAAAGAATTAAGATAGTGAGATATGTCTAAGTTGGAAATATTGACCTTTTTCAATTTCAGATGTAAGTGTATGGCTACATCAGTTATCTAAGGGTATGCGAGACAGCTCGGGCAATCCTCTACCTAACGCACATCTCCATGGCTTGTTTACCAGGATTTGCAAGTTACTGTATTACAGAATTAAACCTGTGTTTGTGTTTGATGGAGGGGTTCCTATGCTGAAAAAGCAGACATTGGTTTGTATTAGAATTTTCTCAGTTTTTATCAGGCTTACATGGCCAAGTGGTTAAAAATGTTGATGGCCCATTATAACTAATGCTATCATTTTTATTTCTCACAAACTTTTTATTTTTGGTATCTTGTTACAGTTTAAATAAAATACGTAAACACATTTGCCAAACACATGAAATATCTTTTGCTTCTTTTGTTAACCAGGTTTTCCGAAGGAAAAAACTGGTTATTAGATTGAGGTATGTCGGCGGGCGGGCTGATGGGCGGACGGGCGGGCGGGCGTAAACAATTTCTTCTGTGTGCAACTCCTCCTACATTTCTCAACAGATTTTGACCAAACTTTCACAGAAGCTTTGTCATCAAGTGCCCTGGCGCATATTGTCGGGGTTTTGTGATTAGATAATATTTGACCTAATTATGGCCCTTTGTTTTTTTTCCTTATATAAAATATATAGTGAACAATTTCTTCTGTGCGCAACTCCTTCTACATTTCTCATCGGATTTTGACCAAACTTTCTCAGAAGCTTTGTCATCAAGTGCCATGACACATATTGCCAGGGTTTTGCAATTGGTATATATTTGACCTAATTATGGCCCTTTGTTTTTTTTTCCTTATATAGAATATATAGTGAGGCGGGCGTAAACAATTTCTTCTGTGCGCAACTCCTCCTACATTTCTCAACGGATTTTGACCAAACTTTCACAGAAGCTTTGTCATCAAGTGCCCTGGCGCATATTGTCGGGGTTTTGCGATTAGATAATATTTGACCTAATTATGGCCCTTTGTTTTTTTTCCTTATATAAAATATATAGTGAACAATTTCTTCTGTGGGCAACTCCTTCTACATTTCTCATCGGATTTTGACCAAACTTTCTCAGAAGCTTTGTCATCAAGTGCCATGACACATATTGCCAGGGTTTTGCAATTGGTATATATTTGACCTAATTATGGCCCTTTGTTTTTTTTCCTTATATAAAATATATAGTGAACAATTTCTTCTGTGCGCAACTCCTCCTACATTTCTCAACAGATTTTGACCAAACTTTCTCAGAAGCTTTGTCGTCATGTGCCCTGACACATATTGCCAGGGTTTTGCAATTGGTATATATTTGACCTAATTATGGCCCTTTGTTTTTTTTCCTTATATAGAATATATAGTGAACAATTTCTTCTGTGCGCAACTCCTCCTACATTTCTCAACGGATTTTGACCAAACTTTCTTAGAAGCTTTGTTATCAAGTGCCTGGCACATATTGTTGGGGTTTTGTGATTGGATAATATTTGACCTAATTATGGCCCTTTGTATATTTTTTCCTTATACAGAATATATAGAGAACAATTTCTTCTGTGCGCAACTCCTCCTACATTTCTCAACGGATTTTGACCAAACTTTCACAGAAGCTTTGTCATCAAGTGCCCTGGCGCATATTGTCGGGGTTTTGGGATTGGATAATATTTGACCTAATTATGGCCCTTTGTTTTTTTTCCTTATATAAAATATATAGTGAACAATTTCTTCTGTGCGCAACTCCTCCTACATTTCTCATCGGATTTTGACCAAACTTTCTCAGAAGCTTTGTCATCAAGTGCCATGACACATATTGCCAGGGTTTTGCAATTGGTATATATTTGACCTAATTATGGCCCTTTGTTTTTTTTCCTTATATAGAATATATAGTGAACAATTTCTTCTGTGCGCAACTCCTCCTACATTTCACAACGGATTTTGACCAAACTTCCTCAGAAGCTTTGTCACCAAGTGCCCTGACACATATTGCCAGGGTTTTGCAATTGGTATATATTTGACCTAATTATGGCCCTTTGTTTTTTTTCCTTATATAGAATATATAGTGAACAATTTCTTCTGTGGGCAACTCCTCCTACATTTCTCAACGGATTTTGACCAAACTTTCTTAGAAGCTTTGTTATCAAGTGCCTGGCACATATTGTCGGGGTTTTGTGATTGGATAATATTTGACCTAATTATGGCCCTTTGTACATATTTTCCTTATACAGAATATATAGAGAACAATTTCTTCTGTGCTCAACTCCTCTTACATTTCTCAACGGATTTTGACCAAACTTTCTTAGAAGCTTTGTTATCAAGTGCCTGGCACATATTGTCGGGGTTTTGTGTTTGGATAATATTTGACCAAATTATGGCCCTTTGTATATTTTTTCCTTATACAGAATATTATAGTGAACAATTTCTACAGTGCGCAACTTCTACATTTCTCAATGGATTTTGACCAAACTTTCACAGAAACTTTGTCATCAAGTGCCCTGGTGCTCACTAAATTCCCATGTTTCTTCCAAGACATCATTCAAGTTTTTTTTTTTTAATTGTGAACATACTTTTCTTGATATCGCACAAAACACCACTAATATTGTTGACAAAAGAAAATGACAAGAGACGCAAAAATGCAAAAATTAAGCAAAAATAAAGTACTGTTTACCTTTCTAAAACATTTGGGAAAAAAAGGCGAATAGACAACATAAAATTTCTCAATCATTTTTGTTTGAGGAATACTAAAAAAGCCATAATTCCTCCTAAAAGTTCAATTAAAAACAAATGCCCCTTCATGACAAAGCATCTGTGAAATATTTTGCTGAAAACCTGGTTGCATCGCATTGCGATGTTTCTTGTTATTATAGTGAATCAGTATTTTGTATGGAAGTCAAAATACTACTTTGTTTACATTTTGCTACTTTTACTACACATTACTGAATGTTCAGCACTACTTTCTTCAGCTGTTAAACATCTAACATGTTCTTAAACCATTATTAAACACATGTTTGACATTTCTAAAAAATTTAAACAATATGAATTTCTGAGGCATGATTTGGCTTTAAAAATAAAGAAAAAAAAGAACACCTTAAAGATGAAATTTAGTGTTACGTTTTTTATTTACTAACATAAATGTTAACTTGGCTTAATGGTGATTTCAGAAAAGAAAGGCTGAGTGCAATTTATGTCTATCACATCATGCAATTTTCTTTCAAAACTTACCAAACACCACACATTCTTTGTTTTCAGTTAAAACTTTTAATAAATATCGGTACTTTTAGTATGAAAGAAATAATCCTGTTACGGAGATAATATTGAAGTGTTTGGGTATTTTCTCCTGTAATACCTTCATAAGTAAGGTACTAGTAGTTAAAGGAACTCCACTGAGGTTTTTTGACATGATGGGACTGATAAGTGTACCATTTGATGTAGGTTTAGACCACTAATCTATGTGCAAAATTTCAGATCATTCACGCACTTTGTTTTTCCAGAATTATTATTCAAATTTTAAAAAAAATGACCCAAAATTAAAAGCGTTTAAATGCTTTTCTCTCAAATAGGACTAAGAAAAGCATAAAAATACAATTTTCAATTTATTTCTAAGTATATTCCTAACTATCTCTGCATATATTTCTGTTTAAAGTGCCCCAGCTCATTTATGTAAGAAATTCAAATGTTATGTTTTTAGGCTTTTAAACCTCAGTGGAGTCCCTTTAAATTGGTACTTAAATTGTATTTTTATGACATTCTAGGCTTCCAGACGAAACAAAAGGGAAGATGCTGAAAAAACAAGCTCCTTAATGCAACAGAAGATTCTTACCAATCTGATTCGTAGTCAGGCTCTCAAAGAAGCTTGTGGCCTGGATAAACTACCAAATTTACCTCCACCACCAAAGAGCTCTGCAAAGGGAAATAAAGATGTGCTGTACCAGTTACCTCCTGTACCAGACACTTCTGTACCGTACGTATATTTATAATCATGACTAATGTATAAACTAATGACATGGTAAATTTATGAATCTAAAATCTCATTAATTGTTTTTAAAATTGAAATGTTGTGCAGTGTTACTGCTTTAGAGAGTCTATATATTATGTGACAGATTTATGTCTGTTCACCATGTTGCAGGTCCATGTCTACTTTTCATGTTACAGTAAATAATTATTATGTTACATCATGTTACAGTAAAGGTCTATCATGTTACAGGTATATGTTTATTTATCATGTTGCAAGGATATTTTTATCATGTAACAGGTATATGTTTATCATGTAACAGGTATATGTTTATCATGTTACAGTAAATGTTTATCATGTTACAGTAAATGTTTATCATGTTACTGTCAATGTCTATCATGTTACAGGTATATGTCTCAAAGAAGTGAAGAGGATAAGACTTATATTCAAAGAAGAGAACTGCAAGAAATGGTGGAGGTAAAATTATTTATCAAAAACTCAGACTGTACTTCATAGGTGAATTCTAGTACTATGATCATAACCAACCAAAACATCTTTATCAGTCCAAAATAGATAACCTAATAAAAATGTAAAGAAGATAAATACATTCCCAGAATTTGGTAACTCTGACTTAATCAGGAAGATTTGTAAAGTAGATTTCGTATTTAAACCAAGTGTTGTTGCATGAAACATTTAAGTTGATCTTATTTGTTATTGTTAACATCCAAGTAAAATTGCAGTTTTCATGAAAATATGCATAAAATGTAATGTTCTGACAATAGTACATGAATGTAAAAGATAGAAATTGATGACAATGATGAAAAACAAAAGTTAATACTTAAATAAAATGTTGTCATATGGACACTGTCTGTAATATTTTATTTCGCTTTCAGTTTTGTTAGATTTTTCTGGTCCTTCAGGATCATTGATTCCAGTACATTTAAGTGTTGAAAATCAAATACCACTCAAGCCAGTGCTAGGGCACTTGAGGGATGGTACACCTTTTCATTATCCCTCATGTACAGACTCAATCAAACCGAGTCTGCAATTTTCATGTAATTTTGTTCGGATTATAGCTTTTGAGGGGAACACATTTTATCCAGATTTTGTTTTTATATTACAGGACCAGTATGAAGACATCAGCAAGATTGATGTAGAGTCTGAGGATTTTAAAGCTCTGCCACCTGATGTACAGCATGAAATCATGACAGATATGAGGTTACGCAAGAAAAATTACAACCTGTCAAAAATTGTTGATTTACCTGATGTAAGTATATTACATATTTGAATTACATTTCCAGATAACAAAAGATGCTACAGCACAATCATTGAAAACTTATGCATTAGCACATGCTGAAATCATTTAAAAGTTTCTATCACATCAATTTTAGGAGTATAATTGTATGAGTAATATTAACTTTTTGCCAAACTTAAAGATAATTGAAATAGATTTTCTTACTTAACTTAAAACCTTAACCATCTGGAACAAAAAGGATTTGCATTTGCCACCAAATTATAGTATGAGCATCCTGCACATACATGCAGTCTGACCAGGCTATATACTGGTTGAAGCTCAACATTTTGTATTTTGAAATTGAAATCTATTTAACTTTGATAGGACTGACTGGGCTTATCCCTTTCACAAATTCAGCAGTTTAAGGTTAAACCCATTTTAGTTTTTGCTGCAACATTGATTAGCCTATGTCACCATATAGAGTCAGGCTTCCTTGCACATTTGTGCAGTTTAACCAAATAGTTTACTAGTCTCGTGACTACTTTTTGATGCTAAAATCCCACCCCTAAATAAAGCCAAAATTTTACTTTTCCAAATGAAAATCAATACATATCTGTTACACATAAACACTTTGGTAAGAGTTAATCAGTACTGAAGATGTGGTTTATTTCCTAGGATTCTAAAGATTTCTCCAAATACCAAATGGCGAAGCTTCTAAAGCACAATAAAGTTAACACCAGACTGGAAGAAGTCCGTAAAGAAATGAACACTAGACAGACACGTTCTTTGACAAAAAACTTCAAAGGAAGGTTTCAGGATTCTGATGACATTTATTCTCAAAGAGTTGTGTCCGAGGACTCAGCTCACTATATCCTTGCCAAAAGAAACTTGTCACAAAAGAAAGAAGACAAGAGTAGAAAAATGATGGAGGTGGAGGCGGAAACTGTTACTGATAAGCTTGAAGTGATAGCAGAAGTTGATGAGTTAATTGTAGATTCTGATGATGATAGTGCTGGTGAGGTAGACATATTAGAGGAGAGTCGACTTATATTTGAGGAGTTAAGTGGTAAAACTGATGAACCCGATAGTAACACTGAAAACAAAAGAAACATTAGTGGTAAAACTAATGAACCTAATGATAACATTGAAGACACAAGAAACAAAACTATGAAGCATGTGGGAGTAAATAGGATTGAAAAACAAGAAAAGGATAAACCTAGATTCCGTGCAGTAATTGAAGTGGAGTCTGATTCTGGTACAGACACTAGTGATGATAGTGTTAAGGTTGTTGGTGATGAAACAGTTGTTTTAGATGACTCTAATGTTGATCCTGAACTGCAGTTTGCCATCGAGCTCTCACTGCAGGAACAAAGACATACAAATGTAAGTAAAGTTAAGAAGTTAAGAGTTCAAGATACTGAACTTTATAAAAAGACTGAAAATGTTGATGCAGTAAGTACTAAGAATAAACATTCAAACAGATCCGGAATTCCTGTTGTAACTGCTGGGAGACAAACTCGACAAAGATCAACTGAAAAAAGACAACAAGGAATCATTGAAGCTGAGAAGTCAACAAAACATCAGAATAAACAAAGTAAAGTTGAAAATTTGATTGGAAGCAGTGTTGCAGATAGTGATGATATAAACAAAGAAGGTAGAATGTGTTCTAGTGAAAGTAATGGAAGGGGTTTTAATGATTCTAAAAAGGAAAATAAAGTTAATGAAAGGAACAATGGTAAAAGTTCTGTTGATGAACAGAGTAACAAGGAGACATATACAAGCAGAAGAACAGTCACCATAGAGAAGAAGTCTGGGATATTGAAGCGGAATATTTCCTGTCTCTCCAATGAATCAGATGGAAGTGGTGAAGAGCCTAATAAAGTAAGGAAGATAGATTTATCTGATGTTGACACTGATGCTGATGTCTCGGAGTCTTCTGAGTCTGATGGTATGTTAGATTAGTACACATCTTTTGATGTTAACAAATTCAACACCATTTCATAGTTAAATCAAAAGTATATTTCTATTTAAGTTAGGGCTGGCCTAAAAGGGTGTAGACTGTAGCTTACATAGTTAAATGTATATTGCTATTTAAGCTATTGGTAAGGGGTGTGGACTGTAGGTTACATCTACTACTGTCAACCGCTAACAGATTCAATCAAATGTAACCGGGAACGTTTGCAACTTTCCCATGGTGGGCTTTCTTTAAAATTTCTATTTTATCTATCTTAAAACTAGTTGGCTCATTTTCCTGCAATTGATCAGATTTTAACATTAATTTCCTGGCTTTTTTTCTGTCATTGCTAAATAGAAACTATTAAAATATTAATATGATACCTGCCATAAAACTAGGTACATAACAGCTCTGCCTGTATATAAAACATTTTCATCTCTTACACATAATATATGTATTTCATTGAATTGGCTGCTTATAGTTTCCCTTTTAAAATATAGTATTTATCAACATGTCTGTCTGTATAAATTGTATAAACTATTGTTTTTACAGGAGATTTTATTGAAGTGAAGGTTGACTTAACTAAAGTAAGAGAAGACAACTTGTTTCCAGCCAGTATGTTTGAAGCAGTGGAGGTAATTGAACCTGAATCCATGGACAGTAAAGACAATATTATTCAAATTAATGACAGTGCAGCTGAAGATAATGACTTAGCTGTTGTAGAGAAGGAAAAGGGATCAACAATTGGTGAAGTCAATGATAAGATAAATGACCAGATTACAGTAGTAGACAGTGACACTGGAGATATGGAGAATGAAACTGACAATGGTAAATGTAATCTGAAGCCTTTATTTGCTTAATTTGTATAATGATTTTGCCAATCTTTGATCTTAGAACTGTCTATTCAAAGTTTAAGGGATTTCAGTAGCTATATTCAAACTTAGAGAAAATACGAAAAGAAAAAAGAAATGATTTAAGTGCTTTGTAACTTACCAAATTTGATAAAAAAAAATCATTTTATTAGCGTTTCTGTTTCAAAAGTCTTGCTTATCTTGATATTGTACTTTTGTAAGACAATGGGCATGATTCTGAAAGCTATATTTTTGGAGTAATGCCCCATTTTATCTTAAAAATTTTTGTCAAAAGCAGTTATTTTAACAGACAAGCATTAACACCCTTATGATCTGCTCTTGTTGTTTTGTACAAGTAAGTCAATTTACATCAAAATAATATAACATTAATATTGAAGAAAATAAAATGTTACTGGGGGTTTTTTTTCTCCTAGAAAATATGAACTTTTTTCATTTGATCTCAGATGAGTCTAAAAATAGAACTGAAATCAATGTGGATGAGAACCTTGAAGTAAGATCAACAGGAAGTGATGTCATGAAAGCAGATGATGATGTCACCATGGTTTCTGAAGCAGACGACATATCTCTAGATTCAACAGAAGTGCCTTTAAGCATGAAAGATGTCAAAGAACGACCATCAAGCCCTTTGGTACCCAACCTAGTGAGGCAGTTTGAAAGTTTGAATGAAGTAAGTTTCAAAAAATCATTGTGATTTGCTTATTTTTTTTTAAATTTGTTAAAGGCACATTCTGCCTCAGAAAGAAAGAAATCTTTACTTCTTTAGAAAGGGCAAACATGAATTTTATAATGTTTAAATAATGGTTTTAGAGAATGTTAGATGCTTGTTACCCAGGGAAAGTAGCAATAAATGTTAAATAGTTTGTCATGAAGGTAGTAAAATGTAAACAAAGTAGTATTTTGACTTCCATGTAAAATACTTATTCATATTTATAACAGTACTTAATGTCAAAAGCAGCAGATGAAATGTATGGTTCTGCCAATTGGCCAATGAGTAACTTTTTAGATACTATAAAAGTACACCAAAATAAACAAACTAAATTAAAGCATTTCTGTGGCATGATAGGCCTTTAACCCATAATTTGCTGATTTTCTTAAATAGACTTGCACTGCTATATTTTTAACTGTTCATTATCAATTTGAAATCAAAATGAAAAATAAGAAGTTTGTAAGCCAACTGTATAGAGAGATTGCACAGAATGGCAGACTGGCCTGGCTGTATACTGGTGACAAAAGTTAATTACTTTCAGTTCCAGTAAAGCCCTTTGTGGCCTGGGGGGATACCTTTAAGGATTGAGGAAGCAGCTGTTTATCCTTGCGTGATCGTTAAGAGTCTATACATCTCTTACCTCCAGCAGGTGAGGTGGTTTTGACCCCTGGTGTTGCTTTAAGTTTGTAACACCTGAGGTTAGCCAGAATCATCTTTCCACTTTCCACTCAGCGTCATATGACCTAAATTGTTTTGGTGTGCTGTAAAACCAACCAAAACAAAGTTCCAGTTTAGTTAGAGTTATGAGTCCAACTTTTTAAGATGTTTTTAAGATAAGATCCCTTTGAGCTCAGACATTAAATATGAAAGTTATTGATTCATAAAAAATTAGAATTGAAAATGTACTACTCCAATGAAGTTTCAAAAATTACTTTTTTTAACAATTTCATCAAAATCAAAAACCTTTTTGAATATTTATTTAAATTTTACAGCAAAGTGTTCGAGGAATGAGGGAGAATTTAGCATCAGAGAACAGACAGTTAAGATTAGAGCAAGGGAGACAAGAGAGGCTTGCAGTGTCCATTACTGATCAGATGCATTCAGAAGCTCAGGTTATTTTCAAATTAAGATAAGCCAATTAAAAATTGTTTAAAGTTTTTCAATACAATTGGAACATTAAATAAATACAATAGCATCTCTATTTTAACACATACAATCATGTATTAAGAATTTTACAATAGCTGTTATTTATTGTAATTTTTTATTAAATAAATGTAGATACTGCTTCTTAGAGCAGCTTAATACAATTTTCATACTTGTGAAATAACAACAAATATTTTAACTAGACTTTTCAAAGAATACAGAGAGCTATTGTACTCACCCGTCGTCATCTCACTACAAATATATTTTGAAATAAAAAGAAATACATGTTTGTGTTTTTGTGTCGCCTCTACGGAGTAGTGGCGACATACATGTATAGGGATCACTTCTACGTTGTCTGTCTGTCCGTCCGTCCGTCCGTCTGTCTGGCGGTCCGTCCGTCACAAAACTTGTCCGGACTACCCCTCATAAACTACTGGTGCAATTTCATCCAAACTTTACAGGAATGATCAGTACCAAGTCTAGTTGTGCATATTGTCAGCATTTTCCGGTTCAATGATTTTTGTCAGAGTTATGGCCCTTTAATAATTTTTAATTTTAAAGTTTGTCCGGACTACTTCTCTTATACCACTAATGCAATTTCAATGAAACTTTACAGGATTGATCTGTAGCTCAAGTCCTTGCGCATATTGCACGGGTTTTCCGGTTGAATGATTTTTGGCCGAGTTATGGCCCTTTGATAAAAAGGTGTTTTTTTCTGTGTGTTGCCAGATATACAAAAGCTTGTCCGGACTACTCCTCATAAACTACTGGTGCAATTTCATCCAAACTTTACAGGAATGATCCGTACCAAGTCTAGTTGTGCATATTGTCAGCATTTTCCGGTTCAATGATTTTTGTCAGAGTTATGGCCCTTTAATAATTTTTATTTTTAAAGTTTGTCCGGACTACTTCTCTTATACCACTGATGCAATTTCAATGAAACTTTACAGGATTGATCTGTAGCTCAAGTTCTTGCGCATATTGCACGGGTTTTCGGGTTGAATGATTTTTGGCCGAGTTATGGCCCTTTGATAAAAAGGTGTTTTTTTCTGTGTGTTGCCAGATACGCCAAAAGCTTGTCCGGACTACTCCTCATAAACTACTGGTGCAATTTTATCAAAATTTTACAGGAATGATCAGTACCAAGTCTAGTTGTGCACTGTCTGTCTGTCTGTCCGTCTGTCACAAAATTTGACCCAACATGAAATTGGCCATCATGAGGCGACACATGTGATTACTGATCGCTCTTGTTTCCTCAAATAAATCAGTTTCTTTAAAAAAAAGTGAGTGAATGCCCTAGGAAGATAAAACTATTTTAGACCTTATAATAATTTGATTTATTGTAACAGGAATTACTTCAGCTGTTTGGTATCCCATATATTGTGAGCCCAACAGAAGCTGAGGCCCAGTGTGCTCAATTAGAGCTTATAAAGCTTACTAACGGAACTATAACAGACGACAGTGATATTTGGCTTTTTGGCGGGAAATGTGTTTTCAAGAATTTCTTCAATCAGCAGAAACATGTAGAATGCTTCAAGTGAGTATGATTTATTTTGTAGTATATTAAAGTGATATTGATGGTCAAGGTCATTTAAAAGGTCAAGGTCAACACTTTGCGAAGTATAGGTATAATATTGACATGGAAGAAAACTGTACAATTTTTAAAGATATTCATTTTTACTACATGTATAAATTATATTGTATTATAAAATGTATATATTGTATTATAAAATTTCTATCTACCTATTTAACTAACCTTTGCGAGGAAAGCTTGCCCTTGGTTACCTAGTTGTGTTTGTTGACCAGAGTTCTATTAAAGATAAGTTCAATACAAAAATCCTCAGGGAAATGGTTTGAAAATGACACATAATTTACATCCATGCATAAAAATTTTTCTTATGATTGACTGCAGGAATTTTTTTTATCAATTTATATCTGCAGAGATGTGACTATTAGCTCACAGCTAGGATTGACCCGTGAAAGTCTTATAAACATAGCCATGTTGTGTGGTAGTGACTACACGGAGGGAATACGAGGGGTCGGGCCAGTCACTGCCATGGAAATCCTCGCTAAATTTCAAGGAAAGGGGCTGGAAAGTCTTCAGAAATTGAAATCATGGTGGGAAGATGCACAGAAAGATGTTAGGATCTCAGTGACGACCTCAAAACTTCTGACAAAACTCAGGGAATTGGATATAAGTGAAGGTATGCCTGAAAATGGTTGTGTGGGAAGCGGTGGCTTAGTGGTTAAGGTATCTGTCTCTCAACTTAGGTATTATATGTTTGAGCACTTCTAGGATGACAGCCCTGTTCCTTCATATAACACAACAAGTCTTGGGTAGCACCAGGAAGCGTAATAGTCAAGAATGATTTAGATAAGTTTCAAACTTTCATCATTATCAAACTGAAAATGAATATGTTTAAACTAAAAAGCTAATTTCTCATCTAAAATGTCAATTTGACAAAGTTACCAGAGATACTATTGACAATGTATTTATTTAATGTTTTAACATTCAAAGTGAAATAAAGATACTCAAAAAAATGTAGTTGAAATTAAAAGATATTATCCAAGATCTAAAAGATTGCTATTGGATTATCATGGGCTTTGATATTAGGCCAATACATTTTATATGCATACATGCAGAACATTTAGCGTCATATAACTTCTTATAGTTTGACAGATAAATGAAGAAAGGAGTTTTGAAACTGCAAACATATTTGTGATTTTTCAAAGATGTAAATTTTTTTTAATGTAATTTCAGGATTTCCCAACACACAAGTGGTAGAGGCATATTTATCTCCTGTTGTTGATGATTCCACAGAGAAGTTCACTTGGTCGTTACCAAACCTAGAGCAACTAAGACAATATCCTTTATAGTTATGGTAATGATAAATTAAAATAACAAAAGATGATTTAAAAAAAATGCATAAATATTAACAATCTGTGTGATGCTTTACAAATTATGTCAGTATTTATAATTGTATGTGAAGTGTAAGTTCTAAACTGAAGTGTAGGTTCTATACTGAATTTATTGAAAGAGTTGAATTAAATGATATTATGCTAACCAAAGGCTAGCATAATATAATTTTATTCAACTCGTTCAATAAATTCAGTATTAAACCTACATTCATTCATTATCCCAGGGTTTCCATTAATGGAATTTGGGAGTCATTTACTCCTTGATCTTAGCTTGTGACCTACAAAATATAATGCTTTCCTTTCTTTACCTATATGATGTGACTTCTAATGTCAGACATTTTGCAGTCTCTGACTTCCAAATTTTGACACTTAATATCCTCTATATCTTTAAAAATGTACTTAATCAGTACACTGGACAGGCATACTGCTTAATAATTAAAAGAATTTGTACACTGGACAGGCATACTGCTTAATAATTAAAAGAATTTGTACACTGGACAGGCATACTGCTTAATAATTAAAAGAATTTGTACACTAGACAGGCATACTGCTTAATAATTAAAAGAATTTGTACACTAGACAGGCATACTGCTTAATAATTAAAAGAATTTGTACACTGGACAGGCATACTGCTTAATAATTAAAAGAATTTGTACACTGGTCAGGCATACTGCTTAATAATTAAAAGAATTTGTACACTGGTCAGGCATACTGCTTAATAATTAAAAGAATTTGTACACTGGTCAGGCATACTGCTTAATAATTAAAAGAATTTGTACACTGGACAGGCATACTGCTTAATAATTAAAAGAATTTGTACACTGGACAGGCATACTGCTTAATAATTAAAAGAATTTGTACACTGGACAGGCATACTGCTTAATAATTAAAAGAATTTGTACAATTTGTACACTGGTTCAGGCATACTGCTTAATAATTAAAAGAATTTGTACACTGGTCAGGTATACTGCTTAATAATTAAAAGAATTTGTACATTGGTCAGGCATACTGCTTAATAATTAAAAGAATTTGTACACTGGTCAGGCATACTGCTTAATAATTAAAAGAATTTGTACACTAGACAGGCATACTGCTTAATAATTAAAAGAATTTGTACACTGGACAGGCATACTGCTTAATAATTGAAAGAATTTGTACACTGGTCAGGCATACTGCTTAATAATTAAAAGAATTTGTACACTGGACAGGCATACTGCTTAATAATTAAAAGAATTTGTACACTGGACAGGCATACTGCTTAATAATTAAAAGAATTTGTACACTGGACAGGCATACTGCTTAATAATTAAAAGAATTTGTACACTGGACAGGCATACTGCTTAATAATTAAAAGAATTTGTACACTGGACAGGCATACTACTTAAGAATTAAAAGATATTGAAATGAACAATAGAAATTGTATAATTACATTACATACAAGCAATATTTCCTTGACTTACTTGCGTACATTTGCTGGAAGCAAGCTGAAATGGAACCGTGAAAAGACAGATGAAGTTCTATTACCTGTAATAAAAAGATTGAGTGAAAAACAGGTAAATTTTTTAATTAAAATTTTTGAAAGGTGTTGGTACTTAAGGAACATGACCCTACCCCTAGAATTGAAATTTTTACAAAGGTTTGGACAAATTGGGTTTCACTCATAAGCACATATTACAAATTGGAATGCAAGATAACAATTTTCTATGACACAGAGCATTTAAATGTGACAAAATGACAATAGTTTTAATTATTCTATTTTTTGTTCCTTGAAGTTGGAGTTTTCTCGTTGAAATGGTGCTTAAAAACATACCTTTTGGCATTGGGAACATGACCCAATGGGCCAAGAAAAAACCTTGTCCTATTGGAGTTCTATAGATGGATATTGTAGCTTAATAACTAAGGGTATATCTGTAATATCTGTAAATATGCCCATGTTTTAAACATTACACTGTTAAATGTTTCTATACTGTCACAGTATTAATTTTCCCCCTTTTTTCACAGTCACAGAGAAGTATAAGTGCATTTTTTCAACCAGAAGTTTACATGAACCCTGCTCCTGTAAAGAGCAAGAGACTGCAAAAAGTGGTTAATAAATTTGTCAATCCCTCCGAGGAACAAGGAGATTCTGATAATGAGCAAGACAAGAAAAAGACTAGGTCAAAAGGTCAAGGTGAAGGTAAAAAGTCAAGGTCAAAAGGTCAGTCAGGTGAAAATGAGACAGTAGATCCTGAAGGAATGCCTGAATCAGCAGGTGTAGGAAAAGAACCTGTAAAGGGAAGAGGTAAAGCTTCAAATAAGAAAACAAAAGAGGCTAGTCAGTCAAAAGACAAAAGTGCAGAACAAGAAAAAAGTAAACCAGATTCTGAGTTCGTGAGTGATAAAGAAATTGATAGAAAAGGTAAAGTTGCATGTAATGCAGAACCAGACCTAGAAACAAAGGTACGTGGTAAACCTGCCCGTGGGAGAGGTAAGGGTCGAGGAAGAGGCAGAGGTCAAGGGCAAAGTTTGAGGTCAGGGAATACAAAGATTGAGAAAGGGAAGATTATTTCATCAGATAGTGACAGTGTTGATTCAGAAAGTGACTCTTCAACATCATCTTCAGATGATGATTACGATGACAGTAGTGATCATGATTCTAATGATGATGAAAAAAATGTTGTGCAAACTGGTTTAAACATAGATGAAATATTAAACCTTAAGATGGGGTGCACCTTTGATGAAATGAAAAGAGTTAAGAAGTATAAACAAAAAGGAAAGGTGGTTGAAAATGTAATGAATGTGAATGAAATCTTGCATCTTGAAAGTGGAGCGGATGGAGAAAGTAAAGAAGTTGATGAATGTTTAGTTAAGGAAGAGGAGGAGGAAGATGTAACTGAAAATGTTGATGGTGATAAAGTTGATACTGAAAAAATTGATGAAGAGAAATTTAAAAATGAAGGAGGTTTTATCAGGGAGGATGACTTTGAAATGGAAGAATGTCCTGAATTAGAATCTGAAGATTTTATGATGCATCTTAAGACTTTAGAGGATAAATGTGCAATTGATAATGAGTCTGCAAAGATTCAAGATAAACCAAAAGATTTACAGAAAAATGTTCCTGAAGAAAGTGAAAAGAAAAAGAAGAAATCAAAAATGGTGGAAAACACTACTGCCACTGAAGACTCTTGTAAAATTGAAACTAAAAGAACTAGGTCAAGCCGAACAAATAGCAAGAGGGATAAATCTAAAGTTTTGCAATCTGTTACTCAGGAAGACGCTGAGCCTGTAGAAGATGAAGATGATAACATAAAGGACGATGGTAAATTTGGTGGTTCTGTTGAGTCTGAAGTATTGAACACATCTGATAAAATAAATGTTCGAGTTGAAGACAAAACATCTATAGAGTCTGTGAAAATAGAGGTTTCAGAAATAGATGAGACTAATGTAGAAACTGCTAGTTGGAAAAGTGGGAAGAATGAAACAGAGACAACAGTAAAACCAATAAAGCCTGTAAAAACTGAAACCAAATCAAAAAAGGCAAAACCTGACAGTATTTATAAAACTGACCCAATTAAACCTGTAGTTACTGGGTTACCTTGGGCAGAAAAGAGGAGAGGGCAGAGGAGGGGACAAAGTGCGAGGGGTCAGGGGAAATTGAGACTTCATACTATAGCTCCAGTGGAGACAGTTAAGAAGAAATCAAAACCAGCTGAAAAGAAGAGATTTGATTGTGTAAATTTATCAGAGAGTGATTCAGATGATTAAAAAAGAATATTTGTGCATGTTTTAGGTTAATATACCTCACTTTATAGTTAATACTTTATGATGTTTTTGTTAAGATGTTGTTATTGAAATATTAAGATAAATGAATTTTAAACCGCCTCCGTGGTCGAGAGGTTAGAGTCGATGACTTCTAATCCAGTTACCTCTCTGGCGTGGGTTCGATCCCAGGGAGATGCTTTGGTAGTTTAGGGCAGAGGAAGGTAGTCTAGTACTGGTGAAACTCTCCAGGAACGATGGTTAGGAAACTACCCGCCTATATGACTGAAATACTGTTGAGAAAAGGCGTAAAATGAAACAAGCAAACAAACAAATGAATTTTAATTGAAAATTGATTAATTTACTTGATTGATTTATACATTTATGTTTTTCCTTTCGAAATAAGTAAAAATTTATTTGTTTCTGAATAACTGGGATGTTATAAACTAAAACTGGAACTTTGATAATTGTATTTTGGTATTTAAGTAATTGTTCTGAAATGAAACATGATATCATTAAATGAACATATTTTATAAGTCTTAATAACTGTTGCTATTTGTTACACATATCATGCTGGTGCTATATTTATATTTCTGTCCACTTACAAGTTGTTATAAAATCTTAAAGGAGCTCCACTGGGGTCCAAATTGCCTAAAAACAAAAGTTTGGAATTCTTCCATAGATTAAGTGACACACTTTAAAGGAAAATTCTGCAAAAGATAATAAAGGAATAAACTCAAAGAATAAACTCAGACTAATAAATTGAAAATCGATTGTGGCTGAATTTTTAGCCTACTTTGAGTGAAAAGCATTGCAAGACTTTTGCATTTGTTGGTCATTTTGTACAATAAAAATACGTATTCTGGAAAAATGGAGTTAGGGAATGAACTGAAATTTTTCACACAAGTTATTAGTGCAGATATAGTTTACATCAAATGGTATGCAAGTCTTGAAAAAAATTTTGTCAAGTGTTTTCAAATTAAAAAACAGCAGTGGAGTCCTTTTAATCAATCAATCTAACTTGTTAGAATTTGTATACCATGTCTTGTATTCAATTAATTTATTTATAATGAGCTTTTATCTGTGATATAAATTTCATTGCACATTGTGTGTATTTTACACTCATCTGTTTTCTGTTGTGAATACAGAATCTCTAATTATTTATTCTATATTTAGTGCCTATATGTATGAATGTATATGTTGGGTTTATAGTTGATAATGTAAAAATGGTCTTAAGAGTTTATCATTTGTGCACTCCTTGGATATGAGCTGTATTTAACAATGTTTAGTTTGAAATTAAGACTATGTTATGTTTCTTGTGTATGTAGATGATTCTTATTAATTGTACATGTATGTTTTATACTGTCTATTGAATTAAAAATATAAAAATAAATCCATTTGAACAGCCTTCTCAGGAATTAAGGCAGCAAATATTTTGATGAGCCTTTCATGTCTTTTATGGTCTTCTTGTTTTAGAAATGTAGACACTATAGGCAATTGTGCTTGTATTGTGGGTTGTATTAAAACCGATTAAAATCTCATTATAAAAAAAGCCTTTTGCATTGAACAGTGTCGTGTTGCTGTACCATATGAAATAAATTTGAGGTAACATTGAATTAGTTTATTATGGTTTAAGTTACATTATGATTGTTTTATAGAAGCTTTGTTTTGATGTTCAAAAAAAAAAATATATTAAAACATAGGAAACTGATGGAACAAATTTGTATTTTCATAAAGTTGCTTATAGCACATGTATTTGTTTGTCATTCAGTCATCACGGTAGTAAGCCATATTTAATTTACCAGAGCACAGTTCATCCACCACATCGTTCCTGAGTAGGCTGTCAAGCAGTTTACCAGTACTTGTTGCCTTCACTTTCACAAGGAACTGAAACTTCTGTACATATCAGAGCAGAGGTACAGTGTGAATGACCATAGAAAAGATTTCATGATCAATAAAAACTTCATGATCAATCATAACTAAAGTGACCTGCACCGTTATGGAATTGAACCCGCCCAGTTGCCCGATTCACAGTCCAACGCTCCACCTATTGAGCTAACCGGACGGTTTCAATCATTTCTTTAATTACTTAGAAATTTTCCTTATGATTAAATGATGAATGGTTTTGTCTGGAATGAAAGATGGACAAGTTGATTTAAAATTCATTTATTTTGGTAAAGATTTATAGGTATATATAAATCTTTATGCAATGACACTTCATGTAATATCGTAAATAAATTACAATTGTAAAATGGTTACAATACCTTAAAACCAATAACTGCCAATCCCATTTAGATAAATGTTGAAAACAATTAGACTTAAAAAATTAAATCACAACTTTGCCAAGTAATTATAAAAGATTAAACTTGCGTCATTTGCCCTGTCATTGACAGTTAAATTTAAGCTTGTTTGGTTAGTCTGACTAAATATAAAAAAAATTTTTTGCTTGTAAATATTTATGTTTAAAGAACATTTTCAAGAAAACAAAAATAAAGTTATTTACATCTGATTATGATATTAAATTGTTTATGTTTTGGAGTTGTTTGATATAATTGAACCGACAGTCTATATTTTATATTCCCCAGATTACTTTAGTTCAAATCTGTTTTCTAAAAGTGATTGATTCCACTAAGATTACTAATTTTGAAGGAACTAGAAATATCTTTTCGCGATTAGTATTGTTTTTTAATGTAGGTCTGTAACCATAATAACTTGAATGCAAAATTTTATATCTTTTGTTCAATCTGCTTTTTCAAGTACAAACATTTTAATTGTGCAAAAAATGAATTGTTCCAATGCTTATAACTCAAATTGAACAAACAAACAAACACACACAAAAATTTTCAATTCAAGAACTTTTTAATATTTACACCATTAGAATTTGAATAAAACTAGTCTTTTCATGATTTTAATCTAGAATTGTTGATTTTAAATTTCAAATGACAAACTAAAATTGAGGTACAAACAGTTTATATATTGACTAGACTTTATACTGGTGTTGGTAGTTTTCACTCCGGATCACAGGAGTAAGCCTCATTGAATTTATCAAAGCACTGTTCACCCACTACATTGTTCCTGGGCAGGCTTTCAGGTAGTTTACCAGTAACTTGTTGCCTTCATTTTCACAAGGAACTGACAACTTCTGTACATACCAGATCAGAGGTATAGTGCAAATGACCGTAGAAAGGATGTTATGATCAATCACAACAAAAGTGACCTGCAATGTATGGCAATCAAACCAGGATCACCTGATTCACAATCCAGTGCTCTACCTTTTGAGCTAACTGGCCTTTATACTGGTTAATGCTCAAATTTATATATATACATGTACTTTGTTATTGAAACCCCATGAAACAACAATGGACCGAACCAAAATTCAAAGGAAAGCAAGTTCACTATTAAAATTAAGTAGTGTGATTATTAAAAGTAGCCTGATTTGAATTTTACAAAGGTAAGAGCGGTGAATGTGTGCATGTTACTATGCTTTTAATCAAACCACTAAAAATTAAATCGAAAAACAAATCTTGTTTATAACATTAAAATCGGCTTTTCTATGTAACTTGTTTATATTAAAGCCCCCCAAGTAAGTCTTGCATGATTTGAGTTTTAATATTTATAATAAAACTGTCAGGATTGATTAGGATTTGTCTAAACTGTCCACATGTGTTTAAAGTCAGGTGTAGTTGTTTGAATTTAAACCTTTTTGATATATGGTTTGAAAGGATTTGATTTTTTTGTTATTTCGTTTGTCCTGTCCAGAAAGTCTGTCATATTTTGATCACAAATGTTACAAAATCTGGCATAATTCCTTCAAGTTGAATAAAGTCAATATTCATTAAGTGCCTTATAACAATAAATTGATAGTTTTCTTCTTTGTTTGCAGTAAATTTTTCTTTCCCTATTTCACTTAAGGCTTATTTTATAATTATAAAAATCTAATAAGTAATTACCTTTAAACAATACATTTTACTTTTTTTTAGCTCACCTGAGCTAGCTTAGGGTGAGGTTTTAGGATCGTTGGATGTCCGTTGGACATCGTACGTCGTCTGTTGTCAGTCCACATTTGTTTGTTAACACTGTAGTGGTCACATTTTTGCCTAAATCATTGATGCTTGTCTAGGTAATTGCTCGGATGAGTTCCAAATGGGACATCTTGGATGAAAAACTAGTACACAGGAGCTAAAAATAGAAAAATCTTGTTATCAAGTTTGCTTGCTTTGATTGGCCCCTTATATGGGCCGCTAAAGCTAAAAATAGAAAAACCTTTGATTATCATCTTCTACTGAAATAATAAATGGATGGTCACCAAATTTTGTCTGTAGCATTCTTAGGTAATATTTTATCATGTTTGCTCATATCAATTTGATTGGCCCTTTTAGGGGCCGCTAAAGCTAAAAATAGAAAAATCTTTGAACATCATCTCCTACTGAAATAATAAATGGATGGTCACCAAATTTTGTCTGTAGCATTCTTAGGTAATATTTTATCATGTTTGCTCATATCAATTGAATTGGCCCCTTTTAGGGGCCGCTAAAGCCATAAATAGAAAAACCTTTGAACATCATCTCCTCCTGAAATAATTGATGGATGATCACCAAACTCTGTCTGTAGCATTCTTAGGTAGTCTTATCTTTTACTGAAAAGCAGTTGTTTCTGGTGAGCGACTCAGGGCCATCATTGCCCTCTTGTATAGATTTTGAGGTCAAAGGGCAAGGCCACAGTGAGTCATTTTTAAGTTTTTCATCTAATTATTAATTGTATTTTAATAATTAAAAAAAAATCATAAGTAGACACATTTTTGTGAAAAAAGGTACAAGATATATAAAAATTCCAGGAAATTAATTTGGCATAAGGGTGTACATTGTAATATATTATATATATTGGCAGTGGCAGTGAAAGAGTTTTTAAAATTTGTGACAGTCCAACAACATTTTTTCTTTGTTTCAATAGTCAGGACTAGGTTAAACCCTTCAAAAATAAAGAAAAGGTTGCACACGACTTTGAAATGATTTCAGTAAAATTTACAGGTTTAGCAACAGCTGAGTGTACCTGGTTGACACTTTGACGTAAATTATTATGACGTTAAATGTTTTTTTACCAATTATGAACAAACATAATGTTTTAGCTTATTCATATATTTATTTCCTTTCTAAATTAATCCATCATTCCTAATCTATGGATTAAAGTTGTGTTAATCTTAATAATCTGAAAATTAAAGGATTATTTAAAAACCATAATCACCCTAATATGATGTAATTATTTCATTTGTTTAGTTGGTAAGGCCATTAAAAAAATAATTGTTTCTTACTATAATTAAGTGGAAGAAAAAAAAAAGGTCAAATATTTATTATATTAACTCAGTATTATCATTCATATTTAATTTTTTTATTTACATTTGTATAATGAAATAGGGGGAATTTAATTAGTGAATAATTCATTATAAAATAAACATGAATAATATTAGTACATTATTCTCAGCAGCTTTCTAACTTAAACTAGTTAAGGAACATCTCAGATACCCTTTCTTGCATAATAAATATTTGAGTCAGAAATGCACAATGTCATGTGTAGAAGCATAAACCTTCTCTGAGTTACCTTGATAGTTTCATAACATGAAAGGTCCATAAATTGCAAGGGCAGCTGATTCAGTCAAGTTTTAATTAAACAGGAGTAGGAGTAGAATGTTAAGTATTCATTATTACCCAGTTTATAATTTTGCCATGCTATGAGTCTGCTAGATTGCATCACTTGAACACATACAATCTGACAGAAACAAAATCTGTGTTAAATTTTTGTTAATATACTTACACATCAGAAACACAAGGAAACAAAATAAAAGGAAGGGGGGACTTATAGCCTAGGTTCCAGTCTGTCTATTTTTTTGTGCTTCTGTTTGGCAAATTGATATTATCAA